CTTTCTGTTTTGCCACTGATAATATATACTGTTTACGTGACTCAAGAAACAAGAATGTAAAACGTGATTAGAACAATGCAGAATATAATGTTTATTCTGGGGCCAAGTAATACATAGTCTCATTTCAATCCAGGATTATGACAGAATGATAGCAAAAGAACGATTTCTGATAACCAGCCGTTTTGACACCCTAAATTTAGGCGAACGTAGAACTACATTTGCGTCCAAAACACGCAAGTGTTAAATAGACACTATTTGTATATATTCTCATTCATATGAAGTGTGGTCAGATGAAGTGGGGTTCAACGTCACGTTCAAGATAATTGCACTTATACATCGACGTGCATGTACGCGTGTGTGTGGCTGCTTGTACTAGTCCGGATTAATGTCAAATTAATACTGCTAGCTCACTGAGATACTGTATACATACTGTATACCGATTCCGAGCCGACCAGTCCTTGTTTTAGCCACTAAATGCCGAGGGTCAGGCAGGGTAACAACAAGAACCATATTTTACGTCTCCCCATGGGGACCCGGGTTAGAATGTGTCCCAAGCACCCCATTGCGACTGAATTCGGCAACACGTTTGTGGTGGGTTGTGCCCCTGTGTCGAGAGCAATGGAGCCTGGAACCGGTTATCCTTTTGCAAAACACATCACGTCGACACTTACTTCACCTAGATGGGTGGTAGAACTGGCCAATTCTATCAATCGGATGCTCACGCCATGACCTGTGCATGGAAATTTGAATTTCACCACAATATCATCGTATCCAATAATTAAATAACAAATATTCAATGTGGTTTTCGTAAGAATCGCAGTTCCATTAACCATTTAGTTGGATTGGAATCCTTCGTTAAGAATATCCAAGTTTTTATGAGAGAGACAATGTTAAGTTCTGATCATTATCATCAGGATCAGGGGTTCCCTAAAGGTAGTATTTTATCTGTCACTTTGTTTTGTATTAAAATAAATAACCTCTCTAAGGTTTTAAACGATTCCATAGATGGATCACTGTTTGTGGATGATTTTAACATTTCACGTCGTGGTAAAAATATGCATACTATCGAAAGGCAATTACAGTTTTGTTTAAATAAAAGAAAATCAAAAACAAATTGTATTCACTTTAATAGAAATTACAAACCTCATAGAGACCCAGATTTACTTTTGGATGGCAACGTTCTTGGGTATAATTGTTGACAGCCATTTGACTTTTTTACCTCACATCAAACATTTAAAAAATTGATGCCTGACGGCCCTTGATTTGCTTAATTCTTTAAAAATTCAACTGTACTGATCACTTATTCGCTCTGAACTAGATTATGGCTCCATCGGCTATGGTGGGGCCTGTGAAAGTAAATTGAAATTATTTGATACTGTTCACCATCAAGGCCTTAAGGTTTTGCCTCGGTGCTTTCAGAACGTCAATAGCCTATATGTGGAAGCTGATGTCCCATGCCTGAAGCAACGTTGCTTAAACTTAGCCTTGCAATATGTCACAAAACCTTATTCTAATTCTAATTCTAATTGCAGAGGCAAATGCCATTTTAACAGCAGTAAAGTATGTCAGTAAACAGTAAAAATGTAAGACGTTTATAATGTTTTCAAATTCTCTTTCGTGCCTTCAGGCTGTTCATAACACGTCATGTAAACATCCAATTTTAATCGAAATTGTTGACTTACATAATGAACGCTTCTGGCCAATACGACTTCATCTTTTGTTGGAATCACTGGTAACACAAAGACTGATGCTGCTGCTAAAGCAGCACTCAACATATCTGTGTCACTACTTCTAATCCCTTACAGTGGTATCCCTTGTGAGAGAATCACAGTCAAGCATGGGCATGTATTGATTTTGACATTACAAGGGATTAATATTGCAAACACAATCTATCCTCGATCTTTTAAATTGTATTAGTTCTCATTTAATTACTGTTCTTTTAAAAGGAAATTGAAGTGTTTGAAAAAGATGATTAATACGTTCTGTATAAAATCTAAATAGCGTTTTAAAATTGGTACATTAAATTTGCAACTGAGATTGTTGGTGTAACAAATGTTATATTTGGGATAATACTTTCTTAGTTGCATTGTGTGTTCAGAAATGGCTAGTGGGTGTATTCTTGAAGGTGGTTAAAGTATGTTAAAAGAATTGTTTCCCTGAGAGGACACGTAATTTCCATGTCCTTCAAAGTACATTCAGGCCTACCCAATTTTTGTTCGTAGTATATTTGTTAGTTTTATTGATAGCTAAAATTGACTGTACTCGCCGGCAGTGTAAATCCTGCTGGGAAATTGTGCAGGAAGCAGAAGTACCGTAAGTCCCCACGGTCCCTAGTATGGTGGCCTAACTTTGGTTGCAGGCGATCTCTAGCGCGTTGTTATCATGTTTTGTTATGTATGGTGTTATCGTTTGATGGTTTCATACTAGTTTTAAATATGGCTGTAATACTCTAGTTATTTCACTATCCTTTGCTGGAGGGTTTTCTAGAAAGTCTAAACATATGTCGCATTGATCATGATAGTCTAAATTGTATGGCTGAAATATTGCCGATGTGACAATAAATTTTCACTCAGTCACTCTGTTAACGTCTTTTGGTATGACGCGGCCGGGGAACCATCCTCGACCGTCCGCTCCCGTGGAGACGCTCTTCCACTTGACCATGGAGGCGGTCTCATTCATATGAACACATGTGAAACATGTCATGATGATCACCTGTTTGTGTGTTTGTTGTTTAACGGCGGTCTAGTTGTCTAGTTGTCTATGAACCAGACAATCAAGTGATTGGCATGAGTATCGAGCTTTGCATTGGTATACGATGACATGCATACCCAGGTCAGCAAGCCTGACTACCCGATCCCGTTAGTCGCCTCTTAGGACAAGCATTGGTTGATGATCAGTTCACGGGTAATGATGATTGTGTAAGGTTTCCCCATTTTCTTAAAGTATGCAGCCAACCAAGGTAACATGTCGGAGTTTCACATGAATACCCCACTCAGACACAGTATATTGACTTTGAGCCGACGAGACCTTGTTTTATCCGAGCGCCTGGCAGGGAAACAACAAATACCATCTTTTAACGTATTCTGATATTCCGCGGCCGGGGATCGAACTTCCACACTACAAAGAGACGCTCTATCCACTGCACTACGACGACGATCTAGCACAATAGAAAACACATCGATATACACGTATTATAAACACACAAAGGCGACTTTCTGCTGCTGCTGAAACATTACACCAAATTGCACCTGTATTTCCAGATGACATGATTGAACTTGCATAACATATTTGTTCCTTTTTATTAAAAAAACGAATTATCAATTATCAAAAGCAAAACTTCAGAACTCATTGTTGGTTAATCGTACTTAATGTAGCGACACGCGTCTGTTGGATATACTGACACAACGTGTTCCAAAGCATGTTAGTTATGTGAGTAAGCGTCGCATATTAACACAAGTTTTTCTAATTGATACCCGTCGAGATTGAGTGAGTGAGGTTTGATGTAAAGCCGCTTTGGACAGTAGTTAAGTTATTTCAGGATGTTGTTTGTTTGTTGTTTAACGCTGCACTCAACAATATTCCAGCTATATGACGGCAATCTGAAAATAATCGAGTCTGGACCGGACCATCCAGTAATTGATATCATGAGCATCGATCCACGCAATTGTTACACGATGGCATGCATCAACCAAGTCACCGGGCTTGGTCACTTCCGTTATTCGCCTCTTACGACGAGCATGGGTTGCTGAAATCCTATTCTAACCCGGATCTCCAGGTGTCAGTTTCAAATTCAGTTGACTGTGGGAAGAAAACCCGAAGAGATGTAACCACAAATTTGTACAGCGAACTGTACCTTAAACGACTGGGCAACCATTCCTCCATGTCATGTGAGCTACATATAGGCGTACTTGTCCAAGGAACAAAAAGTGTATTAAAGTGTTTTTTTTCTTGAAACCCAAACTATGCAGTACAATGCACTCGTTTCATGGCTGGTAACATTTAACTTAATTAGACTCGTTTTTTCGCAACAAATCCACAAATGATGGTTACACGAGCCATATTTACATTGACATAATAAATAACGATTCAGTCAGGACCACGGTTAAACCAGGTTTAATTATCCAAGGCTTAGTTTGGTTAGAATGTTGTAAAGAAATCTGAAAGAGTTATTTTTTCAGATCATTCTGATCTGTCGTTAAATATTTATTTAGGGCAAATATATTAGACCAGTGGTGATATTAATTCATGTATATACAAAAATCTCAGTTGGAGAATAGTTAATGTCTCCAACAGAGAATGAGTTGCATAGTTTACAGATATTTGTAACCAAACTGGAGGTGAGGTGAGGTGAAATTGGGTTTAACGTCGCGTCCAAGATTATTGCACTTACATAGCGACGTGCATGCACGTGTGTGTGTGGCTGCTTGTACTAGTCCGGACTGATGCCGATTTATAGTGCTAGCACACTGAGATACCATGCCGCAGTTTAACATGAATACCCCACTCAAACACAGCATACTTACTCCGAGCCGACAAGTCCTTGTTTTAGCCCCTTAATGCCGAGCGCCAGACAGGGTTACAACAAATACCATCTTTTAACGTCTTTTGGTATGACGCGGCCGGGGATCGAACCACGGACCTTCCGCTCTCCGGGCGGACGCTCTACCACAAGACCACGGAGGCGGCCTAACCAAACTGGAATGATATTCTATGAACATTTATTTTATATATTTTCACCATAGCCCCCAAAGACCGTCTTAAATGAATACCATGTATACTTTGTTTCCCCCCTGAATCAATGTGCGTTAAATTGGACAGCACTGGTTTTAGGCGTGGGTAATGGCCTCGGGAACAGAACTTTTGCTTAATTTTCAGAAATCAATAACAGCTTTGTTTTGCTCATGATTTCATTCCAAAATATCTGGGGTTGCATAATGTCTTTCCTGAATATGTTTTAATAAACCCTCAAATAGTATTTCCGTATTTGATACTATTTTCAGACCTGCCATACAACGACTGTGGTGAGCCCCCGCCGAGTGCCAATACTTACAGGACATTCCCTGACAACAATACAGTGGAGTATCGGTGTATAGACACCTACATTCTATCATCAGGCGACCTTGTCCGAAATTGCATCAATGGAACATACACTGGGACCTCTCCAATATGTACACGTACGTTCCTTCGTGATAATTGTTTTTTGTATATCAGTTAATCACCTATGAGCGCCAATTAACTGTTGGCTTCCCTTATTAAGTTACCTCCTTTGATATCGCATCACTTTTGTTGTTCTTATATTTACATATATAATTATTATGTTCTCTGTCCCATATCATTTATTCACCTGCTTAAGGAGTTTGTATATAGTCCGAAACGTCGTGTCCCTCACAAAGAAGAAGTTGACATCCATACATTCTCTTCCTTATATGTGTCAAAATTTTAAGATTTGATCAATTAAGTCCATAATGATTTTGGGAAGTTAATCGCGTGATTGGGATTGGATGAAAAATTAAAATGTACGCCATGTTTTATTTGAAGGGTTTAAAAGAAGAAAAGATGATTTTATTTTCATTCAATATGAATCAGGAAATTGGTATAATGTACAAGTCACATAACTGCTGTAAACACGTGAGATTATGTAACTTTGGGCACTAAGGGGTTTATTACCAAACAGAAAGAGAAAAGAGATAACTCATTGTTAACCAAGTTGTCACGCACACACACACACACACACAAACACACACAAACACACACACACACGCACGCACGCACGCACGCACGCACGCACGCACACACACACGCACATTTTCAAATTGGTACGTAAACCTGTCTGCTTTGCGATAATTAGTAGTTAGATATTTTTGGATTTTGGTCAAAGAGCAAGTCGTTGTTACCTCATCAAGTTACATCCTCGATGTTTCAGTGGACTGTGGTCCTCCCCTGAATACAAGCTACGCCAGTATCAACTCTACAGGAAGTAAAGAAGGGGACACGGTGACGTACACATGCCCCGACGGTTTCCTTGTATCCTCGACAAACACTGAATGCAGTGGTCAAAACGGGTACTGGCTAGCTGGAGACAGATGCTTTGGTAAGCACTGCAAGAACACAGCTTAATACGGGAGAACGTTGACATATTGTGCCAGTTTAAGCAAAATAATATGATTATCCCAGAATCACCGAAGGGAATTTATTCAGTCATGAAACTGTTCATCCAGCAATGCTCATGACATCGTTGTTTCTGTAAGCAGATATAAGTGTTGTGAACGGAGGTGTAATTTAAACATGTGCTCCACCTCTTCTTGGCGATGGACGAGTTGCGTCCAAAGCGTGCCAATGATCATAGGTTCGAATCCTAGATTAGGCCTGAGTGTGTGTGTTGGATTATTTGCACAATAGACGTTTGTGGCTTTCGCCAAAGTGGTAAACGTCTAAGACCTGCATTTATTCGGGCTTTCCTCCCACACCAAGCTGACACGCCGTGCTAGAACTGAAATGCTGATGAACGCGGCGTTAATCAAACTCACTCACTCATTGTGTACTAAACACAAAGATAGAACATTACCGAACGCTATCGCCGTGTTCCCTTTGATAATGATGCTAAAGTTCAACAGTTTTAAAAAATTGTTCTTGATCCAATATTACAAATATTTAACTAATTCATGCAGCCAATGCCAGTCTGGACGTTGCAGTCTTCACTGCGGTACAGACGTCCACCGCGACTTTGGATGACATCCGTAACACTACAGCTACACTTCTCGCACTGTCATCCACCTCTACATTTCATCCTGCTAACGCCGTGGACCCAACAAAGCTGGGAGTGAGTCTTCTCAACGGCGACTGTAGCAGCACTGCACTCGAGCAACGTCCCCATATGAACGTCACTCTTGGCGACCACTATGACGTCTATCAAGTAGCCGTGACACTACCGGATGATGACTTTGGTGAGGGCAGATCACAGAATATGATTGTTTGTTTGTTTGGTGTTAACGCTTCATTTCAGCTATATGAGACAGGTATGTAGATGGATCAGACAATTCAGTGAAATCCTGACCATCGTTCCACGCACTTGTCTAGCAATAACCACCTAGTCTATATTCAATGGCGTAGAAAATGTAAGAGCTGTTGTTTCATTAGCAAAATTACATTGTTGTCACATTCAAGTCTACACCAATCAACAATTTAACACCTGCATGATAATAACCATTTAAAGCCAGAGGAAATGTTCAGATACATGTAAGTGACTATTTGGTATGCTTATTCCCTGCTCGGTGAATGAGCATTATACTTACTTGAATCACCAACAATTTCATATATGTATGTAAATTGTGAAAACACACGTCACTGAAACACGTACGTGCGTCATAAAGACATTCCGAAGTGATATTTACTTGATTTGTCATTTGTGACACCACTACACCTCGTCATGACGTCATCTTTGTGAATGCTGTCCATTCACGTATGTCGCCTAATGGCGTTTGTCGTCTATTCGCGCATCCCATCTATTCACGTATGTCGTCTATTCGCGTATGTCGTAAAATTACGTTTGCCGTCAATTTGCGTATGATGTCAACGCTTGTGTTGTCTATTCGCATATACCGTCTGATGTAGTATGATGTCAACGCGTGTGTTGTCTATTCGCATATACCGTCTGATGTAGTATGATGTCAACGCGTGTGTTGTCTATTCGCATATACCGTCTGATGTGGTATGATGTCAACGCGTGTGTTGTCAATTCGCATATACCGTCTGATGTAGTATGATGTCAACGCGTGTGTTGTCAATTCGCATATACCGTCTGATGTAGTATGATGTCAACGCGTGTGTTGTCTATTCGCATATACCGCCTGATGTAGTATGATGTCAACGCGTGTGTTGTCAATTCGCATATACCGTCTGATGTAGTATGTTGTCAACGCGTATGATGTCTATTCGCGTTTGTCGTCTCATGGCTTTTGCCGTCAATTTGCGTATGTCAACGCGTATGTTGTCAACGCGTATACCCTCAACGCCTATTTTGTCAAACTGCGTTTGGTGCTGATTCGTGTTTAGAGTTATCAATATGTATCTATTCACTAGTCATCGTGAAGACTATGTTGGTGTATATTCGCATGTAGTCTATTAGCTTATGCCGTCTATTTGCGTATGCTGTCATCGCGTATGGCGTCCTTTCGCGTATGCCGTCAACGCCAATATTAGTCTACTCGCGTATGCCGTCAACTCTAATGGTAGTGAGTGAGTGAGTGAGTGAGTTGGGTTTAACGCCGCTTTTAACAGTATTCCAGTTATATCACGGCCTGTCAGCTTAATGTGGGAGGAAAGCCCGAAGTGATGCAGGTCTAAGACGTTTACCACTTCGGTGAAACCCACGAGCACGGGTATGGTGCTGACAAACCTAGAAACATAATTGGGGCGAACCGGGATTCGAACCCACAATCATAGGTTTCTGGCGTGCCCAAGGGACGCAACTCTGCACAGCGAATCGCGGCGCCTTAGACGACTTGACCACCCGTGCCCCCTAGTGGTAGTCTAATTGCGTATGCCGTCAACGCCAAAGTTGTCTGCTCGCGTTTGCTGCTTATCCCTGTTTACTATTGTCTACACTTGTCTATTCCCGAGTCATCGTGCGGACTATGTTGCGATCTCCACAACACTTATTACGGCCTACTGGCATGTTATGTACGAGTTCTCTCTGCGACAACTGAATTCTTGAATTGCACACAAATCTATCTTGAAATTCATCAACGTGTAGCAACAAACACATGACTCCGAGCCTTACGTGTTCCAGCTTTCTCACTACCCAACCTAAACGTGCGACTCACAAACAATCCCAGCCACAGGTTGTACAGCTGTATGCAACACATGACATCTATACCCGCGGGGTCCAGGTTCGTGGCTACCTGTACAGGTAAACGGTACCCAGCGTTCGGCAGACATCTACAACTTGAGGTGGACTTTGGCGACCAACTTGGCATGTTACAAATCTGTCAGATTGAGGTGTATGCCCGACCTATAACATCAGGTATGTAAAGCATGCTTTTGTCCATTTAATAGGCATACATACTTTGATCCTACCCGGAACCTTTTGGAAAGCGTTGATCATGAATTACATAATCAGGTATTTAAACCACTCAAACATTCTTGTTAAAAGTACAGACGTATGCTTTGTGTTTGAATTTATTAAAAACGCGTTACTTATTTGTTGTAGGAGACACGATCGCAATGCCGTTCTCCCCAAAACAATAACACTATAAAAGAATATTAAACAGAACCGTGTGTGTAGGTAGTTACAAATAATGAACATGAAGCTGACAGATGTCCATTTTTAACGTGAAGACAATCAAGGAATCCTCCTCTCTTCATATCTCGCATTTCAGTTGACTGTGGTCAACCACCTGAACGTCCGTTCGCAGTGATGACAAGCCCACCGTCAACAACTCACTACAAGAGCCCTGTAGAGTGGGTAACTTACGACTGCGTAGAGGGTTACACGGTCAAGAGTGGTCGGGAAAAAGGTTACTGTAACGTCAATGGCTACTGGACTGTGTCCATCGTCTGCACAGGTCAGTAAGCTAGAAACATTCGAAATGGATGCCACACGGTCAGATTTGCCATTTGAACCCAAGGTCTCATGTATTTGTCACGGCTCTCCCTATTGGTCATTAATAACGCCGAATATATTTGGCACATTGAGGCAAGATGGGAATCAATATGGATTATACCTCTTAGTCCCGAATACGACGAAGGATAACGTCAGTATAATCTTGGAAATGAATAAGAAGGACCAATACGTTATAGTCAGGCAGTATGGTTATAGTCAGTGAGTGAAAAGGTTTGCACGACATTTTTAGCATTTGTCCTGCTATGGCATTGGGACACCATGAATCATTTTCACAGATTGTACCCTTTTAGAAATCGAAATCAGTCCATGGCGTGTAGAGCAAACTTTCCACTACTAGGCTAACCGCCCATACCGGTACCAATCCGCATTGAGAAAGAGTATTAAATCCTGCAATGATTGATCTTCTGAAATATAATATATATCGAAACGCAAAAGAAATATATGATTGTTTTGCATCTATAACTAGCGTAAGAAATAAGCCAGTCGACGAGGTACGAAACACTTCCTCGTTGCACGAACGGTTTGAGGTGTTCAAACTATTCACATCACTTCCCAATGGAAGTCAGTACCTCTCGTGCCACATGTTTAACTACTGCAGCATGCCTCATGCACATGATGGATGAGGCTGACAGAGACCATAGGCAGTATATCAGAAGAATGGCGGTGTCATAAAACCATAGGACGACTTCGGATGGACTTCTGCAAAATTCCTCTGGTCTTATCTGAATGTTCATAACAGTTTGGGAGGACCCGATCTGTTGATATGTCAATGCAAGTAGCATACAGAAGTATATACCATTAGTATCAGTTATTTCGAAATGCTAGAAGCATCTCCATACGTTGGCAAATGGTTATTTGCGTTAAGTTCATTACTTATCTGTAATTGACTAAAATCGATAGAATTCTACGATTGCAGTCAAAAGCAAGAAAGAACAAGATAACAGTTTATGATCGGATTGTTTGCAAAACATAACATTATTTCGCTTTCTGGCATAATTTGGTTGGTTGTCATACGAAACTATGAAAACTTCAGGCAATCCCTCGACTGACCAAATTATGTGATATGGTCAATTCGTACACACAAGATATAGCTGTTCCTAAACAAGACCGTGATTCTACAAAAAAGCAGTTACTGCAGATAACAATTTCCTTCCATGATATGTCAGTAACACTGTCTGACACTGCGCCTTTATATGAGAAACACTGACCAAACTAAACACTACAAAGCAAACGACCGAAAGAGCAAATCAATAAATACATGCATGTCACCGCTAGGAATTGAACCGAATGACTTGGTTTGTCACGATGTATATTAATCTGTTGATACATTAAAACTGTCCAAGGGCCGATGGCAATACATCGATGCCCAAATAGAATATTAACAGTAAACATTGATGCCAATATGAGACAGTATTTATAGATATAACAATATCACCGACAGGTGAGCATTTACTTTGATCCACTTGCTGTGAAAAGACGTCCATTTAGAACTTATTAATGGCATTTGTAATGTGATGTTTTAACATCTGTCCTGTTTTCTGATACACCTGTTTACTGTTTACACACGCTTGAAGAATACCTGTTATATATCTGTTCTAATGAAATCTTTATGTTTGGAAGCTTACCCCTGTGTGGTTCAAAACTGTAAATTGACGCTTACTGATATAGAATTTAGCACAAGTATGACTCAATGGAGGGACAGACATCAGAGGCATCTGCAGTATATGTCAGGTTTATTGCAATGTTGTCAACGAATAATCGATACTTATCTGAATTCAGCGAGATGCATCTTGAAATGATCTATGAATTGAAACTTCTTCATTTGGAAACCTACATAAATTGGAAAACTACATAAATATAATTAATTAATTGTTAATCTATTTGGCTTTGACATAATGTCGTAAGGGGGTATTTTCAGGACTTTGACTTTCTGACCAACATCCTAATGCAGTATCCGTTGATTCTTAATCCGCCTGAATGTTTTAACGGGGAATGTGTAGAATGGGGCTTTGAGACACATCACTGTGCGCAGGATGAGGTTTGGAGACATGTACATGTGGCAGTGTGTTGAATGGGGATTTTATACACTGTGTGTATGGTAGGGATTGAAGATATGTGACAATGTGTTGGTAGGGGATTGGAGACATGTAGCGTTGAATAGGTTGGGAATGGGAGCAATATGGCTACGTGTAGGGCGGGAATGTGGTACGTGTTACGATGTGCACAGTTGGAATGAAAACGTGTAACCACGTATAGGTTAACGTGGGGTGGGAGAAATGTTACCACGTTTTGCAAGATACAATGTAGGACTCTTAATCTCGTTAAGTGTTGGCCGCTTTTATGATGATTGGGGATGTAGTTGTGTTCACTGCACTACTGTTGTGTATCGGGTATCCTTTAATTACATATTTAAGCCAGTCTGTCACCTGAAACGATGCCGATGAGAATCAGAAAGTAAAATTCAGAGACAGGCCATTATAAAGTGAATTTATTCCCATTTTACGACAGGTCGCATATTACGAAGTACGAAGATTTCAAAAGGCTCCATTCCAACACTGCTCAAAAATTGTTTGATCAAGAATATAACATTCAAGGTCTTATTGAAGCTTTCATAATGTTATCTGGCAGACATGTGGATGACTTCTCCAAATTTTACGCATCAGTGATAAAAATGATGTCCAATGCAATTCTCTGTTTTGACTTGTACCATATGTCCACGTGTTGTTTTAGGTGAACAATTGACTTGGTTTTGCATGTGTTTGTGACGTGTGACACTGGTGGGGCAGGATACGCTCACCTTTTCGCGTGCACCTGGTATCATCTACATGATGATGATTAATGGACGCATGCTCATGATATGGTCTGAATTCTTCAATCGACAGAGATTTCTTATTAATCTAGAAAGGGTTTTGTCGCTTTTATTAGTTATGTTATCGTTAGCACGAATAAGACATAAATTATATCTATTGTCTGTTAGATAATGGCTGGGCCCAGAAGTTTTAGAATTACATAAGGTGGGAAAAAGTAAGATATTTATTGCAAAAAGTGTCGAGAATCTGACACTCCGATCATGGTTCGCAATGATGTCATTGATACTGTGATGTCATTGAACCAATGCCGTAGGACACGCAGAATGATTAAATATGTGCTTCGTATGGACATTTGTAAACTCATTTGACCCAAATGATAATGAATCTATTTATTTCGAATAATGCATTAGGAACATAAAGTGTTTCATATTTGCTGTAATTAAGAATTCAGCGCCCTGAAGTTGCACTTGAAACTTCCCGCTAACGCCGTCGGCTAAAATCTGAAATAATACCAACATGTTTTTAGGACATAAAGTAAAACAAGTTATCAGTAGTGTTTCTCTAGTCAACAATGTGTGAAACAAAAATCAAACTCTTTCTGATACAAAAATAACATACTTAATATGAATTCAAGTGGTATCGATTTCTCTTAGTCGAATGACAAGTTTTTGGTTTCTTAAATTGGTGATTGACGAAAAATAGATAATTGTCACAACAAGTATCCATACGTATTAAAAAATCTTATTCAGCAACGTGTTTAAAACATTGTCAATGAGATTGCAGTACACTCTCCCATTGACGTGTTATCATTTTTTGACTAATTTAAAACTAGTATACAGACAATTAGTTTCTACATTGTGATCAAGATGCATATTATGATAATGCCCAATATGTACCAAATTTGGTTCACGAAAACGACAGTGCTCGAATGGTGGATGAGTATAAAACGAGTTTGTTTCTTCACAGCGGATGAGAATCTGTCACACGGGAAACCTGTTTCTCTGTCTGGCAACGACATCATGGACGTCTCCCCACTGACGGACGGTAACACATCATCGTGCGCCGTAATACTGAATGTGGCCGAGGGAACGTTTGTCATTGATCTGGGCAGTGATGTCGAAGTTGGAGATGTTTCCATTAGATTTTATGGTGAGAAAGTAATTTAACCAAGCAGAACTCAAATAAAGGAATGGTCCACATATTTTTCTTTAATAACGAATTTGTTTTAAAAATATAATCATTATGCATACCAGGAAACCGAACGTCTTTATTTCGACGTTACTAAGGCTTTAAGGTTTTATCTATTTGCATCAGAACTTAAAACTAGTAACAATGACCAATATTGACAATAATTGCACACACATGAATATCAATACTTAGCAACTTAAGATTGTTTTCTATCTAGTTTACACCTTTTCTACTTGGTCATTTCACAATGTACAAATGGCAAGAAATTTCAATAAAAATAATCCCGTATTATTTAAATGGCAATTAATTCGTATCAAAACATATTCGTATCAGAAGAAATCTATTTTGAACCGAAATGTGTTTTGCCCCACAACACTACTCAGCTAGATAAATAAGTCCATGCCCACACAAAGGATGCTTACACGTTCGATATTCCGGACGTTATTCGACCGGTAATGGTCCATTGACATCAGTAATGGTTACATATGATTGTATGTATTTCGTTAATTTATAAGCAAGTGGTCGCTATGGCCAAAAGAACATGATGATGCAACGTTACATTTTAACTCACTCACTCACTCTAAGCAAGTGTAATTGGATTAACTTTAAGTTGTACATGCTCAAGTTCAATACTAATAACGGATTCCAATGTCCATCCAGATATTAAAAGGAGTAAAAACAGCATTAGTTCTCCGTGTGCGAAATACGCTAGAGTCGGAAAGCGCACGTAAAATCTCCAATGTAAGTAAGTAAGCATTAGTTCTTGTCTCTAAATGAAGCTTTTGACCCGTGTTTGGGAAATGCATTTTACCTTAATAGGAAGAAGAGGATCGATTTCAATCAAGCAATTTACTGTCAGTGGTGTTGTGTCTACAATACAGAATACAAGAGATAGAACTTCAATACATGGCATAGAGAATCGTAATACATGAAACATAGAAAAACAATCGAATAACTATTTTAATGGTTCAAATACCCAAGGGGGGAAGCTGGAAAGGTAGGGGACATAACACTTTCATGTCAAAAGAGGACATTAAATCACGTGACCAATATTATGACCTATGACTGCATATGGAAGTAAAATCAATATAAATACGCTTGGCTTGCTACGTATGAAGTTAGAAGTTAGAAATAATAATTTATTTACATGGGAACAAAGCTGTTACGACTCTTCCCTGTCAAACACCCCTTAGCATAGCCTTACATTCTGAATGATATGCTTGAACATTGCATATGCCTGTGGTATCGTGTTATGTAAATCCAGCACTATCCATTAACGCCAAGAGCAACAAAATGCAAAATAATATTTATTTTTGACATTAAGATTTGAAAAGCATTTATCTAAAAAAGTGAATAGAAAACTGACGGCCAAAAGAAACGTTACCAACGATATTTCTAGGATAAAATATGACCAACACAATTTGAAGCAGCAATAACAATTGTATTGTAGAAATTCATCATTCAGAACAGTAAAATGCGAATTTACTAATTCAACAACAAAGTCCTTGACCTCCAACAGGGACATTTCTTGACAAGGGGTCATTCGTCCAGTATTCGATCAACAACATTGGTTACAACTTTAAGGTGACGACGGCCCAGACCGTTCAATACGGGATATGACCTCCATGAGCGGCAATGCATCTTCGAATATATTGTATATTGTACTGAAACTGTGCATATTCGGAAAAAAAACTGTCCATTAACGCAGGCATGTGACGCTGAACACATAAAATATACTAAGTATGGTAACATCTATTCATAATACATACAACTGCGGGTAAACAAATATCTTAAACTTACAGGTTATTGTGTATGATCTTTCATATATACATACAAGGTAATAATGAACACTTCATTCTACAAACCCTCAAGGGAGTAGTACCCATAAACAGTGCAAATATGTCTCTACCCCCTTACATTGGATTGTTAAATTTAACCACCTATAAAAACATAGATTATCTAGAATATATATCAAATAATTTTTTATATCAAATAACAGTTTCTGACCTTTATTAGAAAAAGAATACGAATACAACCAAGCTGTTTACTGTCAGTGGTGTTGTGTACTGACCAGTGGAGGTGCTTGACATTTATACTAATTCCTCTCGTATGTTTTGACTTTTAGTGACTCCCGAGTGAATTGTGCATTATCTTGATCTAAATTTTGACCGGCGATGCGTCACTAGGCAATGATGCTGTATTATTACGTAATTATAACTTGTACGGCTTGTACTTGAACGCAAACATATTGAAGTCAATTGTTATAAATAATTATAGTCAATCAAAATTACTTTACAGACTGCTTATTTAATGATTAACACACAACACTGCAGACATAAGTACTAAATCGTTCAGAGCAATTATGCAACACAAACCCTGCCCATTCTATCATCAGCCAATCAGGAAACAGTAGTTTCAAAGTGGGCCTGGACAAAATTGTTTTCGATTTATGGAAACACAAACGCAAGAAACCTTGCTTGGTTATTCAATCAAATGCCACGGAATCGCTTGTAATTTATATAAAATCAAATGGATTTGAAAAAGTACGAAGTTAATATGTTTTTTCGTACATGTCTAAAGACTGTTCATAATCACTCTGTGAGGTGTTTACAATAGAGTTTCATAGCTGTTAATTCATAAAGGTACCACATTTGAGATAGGCTGGCAGTATTTCTCCAATATCATATTGTCAAAATAATCGGATGTATAAAGTATATTCATGTATAAAGCCGTTCTTGTTATATAATGCTAACATAAAACGATCTAGTTTCTGTAAGGACAGATCCACTGGAATGAAAGACGTACTTTTTCTACATAGTCTACCAAATATCAAGAGTTTACATTTGACTACATATTTTTGCGTCGACACGATCTAAGTGGCCCTAAAACTGATCTGGATGGTGAATGTGTAACACCTGCGCTCTTACAGCGTACCTAACTACAGTGAATTAACATATTGTTTCCTGTGTAGATATACGGCGGACATGAGGACACAGCGTTTGACAATTAAAGTTAGTCGAACTCTGCGAATGGTTGGATTGAATTCATTAACATTTAATCAGGTTGCATAAGTGAGTGAGTGAGTTGGGTTTAACGCCGCTTTTAAGAGTATTCCAGTTATATCACGGCGTGTCAGCTTAATGTGGGAGGAAAGCCTGAAATGATTCTGGTCTCAGACGTTTACCACTTCGGTGAAACCCACGAGCACGGGTATGGTGCTGACAAACCTAGAAACATAATCGGGGCGAACCGGGATTCGAACCCACAATCATAGGGTTCTGGCGTGCCCAAGGGACGCAACTCTGCACAGCGAATCGCGGCGCCTTAGATGACTGGGCCACCCGTGCCCCCTCAGGTTGCACAAAAGTTGATATTCAGTTCTCAATGCTTAATCGATGGCCTTGTTTTTTTAGGACATTGTTGCTCATTTGCTTCTGTTTCTCACTATTCCATAATGCAAGATCACGTGATCCCTGTTTAGAATAGATCCTCCAAAGCCTTTTCTGGTCGTAATAAAAGACCAAATGGATCAGGTTGTCAGGCTGTGCGACATGTAGAAATGCGTGTCACTGTGCCATGACGGCGTGGATTGTTGGTCACAATATCAATTATAAGATGCTTTGTACATGGCACGTTTATTTCAGGTGTCACATAGCAGGAATATTGCTGAGCGAGGCTTTAAACAACAAACAAACAAACACATCATGAGAGTCCACCGTGTCTTTTAAAGTCTGCGTTTCAATAATACTGACTAGGGTTGTATCGTAAGCCAACAGTTATGTAGAAATAATCACTATAATCTCTATTCATAAACATAAGCTCCAAGTTCCATTTAGAGATCATTTATATGTGAACAAAGCTGTTACGACTCTTCCCTGTCAAACACCTCTTAGCATAGCCTTACATTCTGAATGATATGCTTGAACATTGCATATGCCTGTGGTATCGTGTTATGTATCCAGCACTATCCGTTAACGCCAAGAGCAACAAAATGCAAAATAATATTTATTTTAGACATTAAGATTTGAAAAACATTTATCTAAAAAATGAAGAGCCTTAACGGCGAACACCGAAGAGTATTTAGTTTGAAACTATTTTTTTCCAGATGTGAAGAAACTCGATTCTCCTGTTATCAACGTGACAGTGTGGCGTGATGGCTACCCTGCGTCATCCTGTACACTGTATACCTTCATCTACTACCGTGGGGAGACCGCCAACGTCGTGTGCGACTACTTCCCCGTAGGCAGATACGTCAGCGTTCACATCTACTACGAGGTGCTCGTCCTACTAGAAGTCTGTGAGATAATGGTTCATGGGAGGCGGTACACCGATGGTGAATACGTTAATATTATCTACTTAGCATTCTTAACACTACATGTATATATATGACAGACGTAAGGAAGAGAATCTTTGAACGTAAACTTATTTATTCTGAGGAACAGGACGTTTCGGAGTATATATTTACTCCTTCATCAGGAACCGTACAAGGTACTGAGGCAAAATGTTCTGAAGAGTACTCTTGGTAACAGTAGTCATCTCAGTTATCGGTACACAGGAAAAATCCAAGGTGAAGGTCAGCTACCATCAATAACGCGGATGTCCCACGTTGGAATAGATAGCGGAATGACATCTCCTGCCCATGGAAGAGACGAGTATGCGAATCACATCCTGGGGAATGGTAGCCCACTCGGCCTGCAACGCAAAGGTCAACTGCTGCAACGTCTGGGGTTGTGGTTGACGTCGGCGTAGCCGTCTATCAATTCATCCCACAGATGCTCTATCGGAGTCAAATCCGGGGATCTGGAAGGCCACGGGAGAACATCAACGTTGTTGTTGTGTGGACATGCATGCAGGCTCTTGTGATCCGTTCTGTATGCGGTCGAGCGTTGTCCTGCTGGAATACACCATTGCCATTGGCTGCAATTGGGAGGACGTGTGGTTGTTGTTGTTTGTTGTTTAACGCCGCACTCATCAGTATTCCAGCTGAATGACGGCGGTCTGTAAAAAATCAAGTCTGGACCAGACAATCCAGTGATTGACATCATGGGCATCGATCCACGCAATTGGAATACGATGACATGCATCACGTTATTCGCCTCTTACGACAAGCATAGTCGCCTTTAAGGGCAAGCATTGGTTGCTGAGGACCTATTCTGCCCCGGATCATCACGAGTCGGACGTGTGGTAGGAGAATTTCGTTGATGTATCGTTGCCCTTGATATGGACCAAACCTGTCATGATGAGAGATAGCCGCTCACATCATAACGCTACCCCCACCAAACCTGTCCACTTCCTGTACGCAGTTTTCGGCGTAACGTTCTCCCAGACGTCTGTAGACCGGTGCTTTACCATCCCCTCGACGGAGGAGAAATCTTGATTCGTCGCTGAAAAAGACATCTCTCCGTCGCAGTTGAGGCCATACCCTGTGTTGATGACACCAATTCAGTCGTTGCTCGTAGACCTGCTGCTCTTAAACGGTTTCGTATACGTACGGTCTGGTCGGAGATTCTGGGCAGTCCGGGTATTTGGGATGGAGTTGAGGTGGCTGTGATCGTCCTTTCACGTAGGTGGCGCAGTCGGATGTAGCGATCTTGTAGGGCGGGTTAATCTTGGTCGTCCCAACCTTGGCCGATCACGTGTTTCCCGACTAATGGTTTGCATGTGCTTGTTGTGATCATTTTGTTCCGGGAAATTCGTCACTGACACTATAACACATTAAAACTGATCATTTTGCACTTCTTGGCTCGCTAATTTTGCTTTTATGGCCAAAAAAATCCGTATTGCGTTTCTTTTTTTGAAGAGTATATTTGTCAAGGTGACATCTTATAACTATACAGAAGCACACGATGCACAATAACCTTTATCATTCCTATGCAATTCTTATGTCTGATACATGTACAACAGTCCGGCAAAGCTTCACAGATTTCCCTTCATCGTACACATTGTACAAGCGTACTTTTCCCGTGCGTTTGTATTTGTACACTACCCACATAAAATAAGGAACTAATGATTTGAATTGAGCTATTGTTGAGGTGTTCGTTTACAATACCGTGGCGTTGCGTCTGGACGCAACATCGGATCACCATGAAATTTCACATCATGCATGAACAGCTCGTGCTGCACGTGCACATAGAAGCCAAAGTGTGTGTGGGAACTCTCACTGAAGCAATCAATCTAAACACACGCTTAAGACACACACCCCCCCCCCCCCCCCCACCCCCACCCCCCCCCACCCCCACCCCCCCACCCCCCCTACAGTACTACAGTATCTCAATTAACAGACAAAATGGCGAATTGTTGGCACGATAGGATTTGGTACGTTTAGTAGGTTGTATGTATATAATTAACATGAATGCATGTCTCTCATTGTCAAATCATCTCTCCTATTGCCCAGCCTTGGAGTGTTATCGCTATCGAAAACAAACCGACTATAAGGGACATTTGAACACGACAGTAGCAGGAATCCCTTGTCAAAGATGGGATTCCCAGAGCCCCCATGCGCACTCCCACACGGACATATCAAAGTTCCCGGATGATAACCTTGAGGACGCCGCCAACTACTGCAGGAACCCTGACGGAAAATACGGGCTCTGGTGCTACACCAACGACCCGGATGTTGAATGGCAGTATTGCCCTGTCAGAAACTGTGGTAGGTAGAATCCTAATAATAGAACTACACTGTGGGAGACCGTATCCAGGAACAACCCGTGTCGTCATTTGTAAAGGCACATTCTAATTCAGGCCCTTCACTGTTACCGTCAGCTCTTCCTCGGTCTGTTCCTAAGATTAACCCAGCTCCTGTTGTTTCCTGATATCCCCATGGGTACATTAAAGCATCACATATTATGTTCTGCCATACAGAAGTGTACAAATTGTCCAAGTTTAAAGAAATATAAATCATTATACGTCGTTTGTAAAGTCACACTTAACTATAACCGATTAAAGGATAAGGTGCGTTCTTGTTGAAGATGTGTTTATTTGTATACCGAGATATTATTTTGACACTTTATATTCACATGGTCGTATTTTCAGATTATATGTGCTTGCGAGACGATAAAGGGTCAACATACAAAGGGTTGATACTAAAAACAGCCACTGGAGCCAGCTGTGTTAGATGGAGTGGGGCAACAATCCCCTTCAACAAGACGAGTCATTTCTCGAACTGGTGGCAATCTCTGATATACTGTCGCAATCCAATACTCTCACAGAGTCGTCCTTGGTGCTACACGTCCAATGACGCTAGCCAGTATGGTCTTTGTGACATACCAACATCGTGCCGTAAGTCAGACTGACATGCATATTGCATATACGTGGACAATAACATAGGTTACCGGGATATAGGTGCTTTGCTTTTTGACGATGGCAATCCGTTGCTGTTTTTTTAACATTTGATCATGAGCAAGTTTTTGACCAAAGCTGATATATATGTGGTGAGAAAAGCCCTTTTTTAATAACGGACTTGATCACAGTTTGAATTTCTCATGAAACTGGCAAAATTCAATTTGTCATTCGCTCTATTTAGACATTATTGTGTAATGGAATACGCCAGAGGTAAAATAGCTTGTCAATGTAACTTATGAACTTAAGGAAAAAACAATTATTGTATGAATATAACCATTTGTACATACATGTGTATCTGATAAGCTACACACCGGAAGCATCATTACAAAATTGTTCGTTACTTAAAACAACGACATTGTCAGTGGGCCAAGAAGGACCAGTATCTCATCCCGTCGTTGTTTTTTTACACACAAAAAAGTTAAGGATCACGCGATTATTTCATGTTACTAGTCATGGCATGACAGATTAACTTTTGTAATTTGAAAGAATATGTCATGGCATGACAGATTAACTATGGTAATATGAAAGAATCGGGTGGTCCTACACTTTTTTTCAGCAGTATATGAAAGTTTGATATTTAGCCCATATCATGGTGATGGTTCTGAAACTTTAGGGGCGTATGGGTAGCCTAGTGGTTCGCTCGTCACGCCGAATACCCTCGTTCGATTCTCCACATGGGTACGATGTGTGAAGCCTATTTCTGCTGTCCCCTGCCGTGATTATGCTGGAATATTGCTTAGGACGGCGTAAAACCATACTCGCTCACTCTGAAACTTTAAGTCTGTCCATTGTGAGAGCAACAGAAACGGGTCTGCCTGATATGCTGATATAATTCGACCGTTGCTCCAGACCTTCTTGGGAAAGATGCTAAATGTACACGACGTCATTGTATTACACGAGGTTTGACCTACCCTTTGAATACTGACTTTCAGGCATTATACTACAATAGAAATAGATATTAAGATGCGAAGGCACAACATGTGAACATTCACTCATTCGATGCTTTCGGCTGTTCGGATACCATTGAAAACAACTCATATAGTATAGATGTCAGTTCTGATAAAGCATAGAGGAAATCCACGTTGCTTACAACTAAACATATACAATCCAAAGGTGCATTAATGATTAAACTTAATAATATCTACTTATCCTAAAACATGGCCCCAAAATATGATATTTGATCAAAACACTTCACAAAATCTTTGAAGGCACAAATACTTTACCATTCACAGCTACGACTTCAGAGATGACACGAGGTCACTGGGTTTTGGATGCGGACCAAACATTGAATGACCTCCTACCGTCCACCGAATGTCTGGTTTGGAACCGACTTTACACACCAGACGGAAACTTTAGCGGTACCTGGAATGACGCCTTTACACCTTTTACCTACCGAAACACATTCACGGCAGCAACTATATGTCGTGCAGGGAGGGTGTTCAATACAACCATGCAGTGCTTCAATATCACCGAATCTGGAACGGTCTGGAAGGCTGGCGTTCTAGAATGTGGTAAGTTCTGTGACGAAGGAGTCTAATGCTCACTAAGTGAACATGCCCATCCAATTACACACAGGATTCACAAAGGTTCCTACTTTGCAAAACGAATGTGTGTATGTCTGCATCTGAAAGTTTAAGGTTTCAAATTAAAGTTAAGAAAAGACTTTGAGCATGGCGACATGACTATTTTCATATTCTAGTTAATTTCAGATACTTTCTCTCTGCATTATGGAAAGCAATCTGCTCAGTTGTTATGGAAGCATTTGACTTCTTTCAGGTGTAACGTCATATCAGTCTGTTTTGGTAGATTGCAGCTACAGTTTTTTGTTAATCTGTATACGAGCAATGATGTTTGTTTCATTCTTGTAAATGCCATACTAACAACTATCAAGGACTTATAGTTTATATATGGATAATATAAATATTACCTTTTGCAGTTCAAAATTATAATTCAGCGTGAGTAATGCAATTAAGCAACTATTGGTCCTAACTCTATCTTTGGCCCACAGTGCACTGCGGATCTCCCTACAGTGTGGATAACGCTACCTTCTCCATCTCCTCCAGTCTGCTAAACGGAACAGCCAAATACACATGCCAAAAAGGATATGGGCATGCTTCCGGTTCAAATAACGTCAAGTGTCTCAAAACTGGCCAATGGGAGATCCCTGACATGATCTGTGAAGGTATATATATGATTCATATTTACATCATTACACACTGTGGCTTAAATTAACGATGTACGATTAATTTGTCCTCATTGTCCCCCCCTGTTATTGTTCTCTTTCCAGTCGACTGTGGCACTCCTCCTTCCATGGACCACGCAGACGTCGACGTCAACTCGACGCTGGTTGGAAATACCGCTAATTACACTTGTCACGACGGCTATGCACACTTCTCAGCGTCTAACCAGGTCACGTGTCTTGACTCAGGCAAATGGGATGTTGATGATATGACATGTGAAGGTACAATACAATAGTGAGTGTGTGTGTGTGTGTGTGTGTGTGTGTGTGTGTGTGTGTGTGTGTGTGTGTTTGTGTGTTTGTGTGTTTGTGTGTGGGGTGTGTGGGGGGTGTGGGGGTGTACGTGGGTGTGTGTGTTGAAGGCGAGTTCGTTACGGCGTTCGTGTATGTGAATTTTCCAAAACATTCTAATCGATTCTAGGCTATCAGCGACGTTTCAAAATTATCATTATTGATTTGATACCCGACATCACTAATATGCTATTTTTCTACATTAATTTTTCGGGTAAATATCCGATATTTAGATTTCTAAACAAACAGTATACTCTCTGGTAAATAACGCCGTGAATTGTGATTTGGCGAGCTTTACGATGTACCTAATTTTCAGAAGTCACTTTCAGTAAATTTGCTTTGCCTAAAATGACAGTAAATGATAAACAGAGGGGAAAAACAAAACTGTGATGTGTATTAGTATGCGTGATGTGTTTTGAATTTTATTCGACTTCGAAGTGAGTGTTAAAGAGGAGGGACATTACACTCTAAAAAACGATAACGTTGACACAACAGATAATGTAACTGATAATAATAACAAACAAACTCGCAGACAAGTTTGTTTATTATTATTATTATTATTATTATTATTATTATTATTATTATTATTATTATTTATTACACGGTCCAGTGGTTCAATACAGACGTAGGTGAACATTCGACTGAAGCACGAGCAACTTATGAATGACTTATACATCACCATGGATTAGCCAATCACGGGCCTGGAATTCGATCTCACACATACGTTTGATACCAGTTATCTCAAATGCTAATTTCATTACTATCCATAGCTAACACGCAGGGACTTTCACCTTCCCTCGTAATTGCGACTTAAAGATTGTTCTGTGTTTGCAAAATCTTAAAACATATATATAAAAGTAACAAAACAGATTTCATGTCAATAAAATTCTTTATCATACGTTTGCATATGATAATATACAAAAGGCTTGAACGAAAAATATTCTTGAAATCTACGAGACCACTGTTGCAAGCGAAAAAATCCACGCTGGTTAAATAACAAGAATGGCCGTTTTTCTGAAACGAAATGTCTCGATTGACGGGTTAAATGAGTAAATTGCAGTTTATAACGAAACATTTTCAAAAAAATAACAAACGGCAAGAAGCTATTTTAACTCCATAAATGACCATCTATAATTATTGGCGAGTAAGTTACTCTTGTATGACAATAGTTCCTTCAAAGTGTTATGTTCAATGCAGTGAAATATCAAGTGTTGTGTTCACTGCAATGAAAAAAATCACTTTTTCGCAACTTCTTTCGCACTGAAGTATATTATACAACTGTATTTCATAACTGAACGATTTAGTTATTATTTTAATTATCTAACAACAAACGTATCTGGTATTTCAAATCTTGGTTAAATAAGGTCCACCGTGAAATCGTTTTACACGCAAAGTTAAGTATGTTTTGTTTGTTTATCATGAGCATACCATCTGAACGGAAGCAGAAAATGGAATAAGTTTATAAATATTGATACATAAGTATATTTATTTAATCAGATGATTACTTATGACAGGTCTGGGAAGGATGAACACTTCTCGGTTGTTGATTGATACGAAACCGCGGATGAAAAGAAGCGTCTCCAAACATCTTAAATCTATTTGGGGTGCATTTGTTTCCTGTTCCTCACGGCACCACAAACATGTTTGTAGTGTGCGCCAAAGGTATATTTGAACCTGTAACGTTTCTCTACATTAAGAAAAGTGAACAGCTAAAATTATTTTGATTCACTAACACAAGACCCAGGCTTTGATTACTACACGCGGAGAATCACCTTTCCAAAACAAGGCCCCCAACCCCTAAAACCATCCCGAAACCAAAACAACAACACTCTCCCACGAAAAAATGAACAAAAATAAACCAAGACTATTAAAAAGCAAAACAAGACAACATCAACAAAAATGAGGTACTAAAAAAACGCAAAGACAAAACTACAAATACCCCCAAATGCACAAACATAAACATAAAGCAAAGCTGTTTTCATAGCTAAGTCTGATGTTTCAGTTAACTGTGGAGACCCACCTTCAATAAACAGGACCGAGGTCTCGGCTACCGACGGGTTCGTCAACGAGACTGTTGAGTACACGTGTAAACCAGGGTATGCGAACGTGTCAGGATCAGCCTTCATCACCTGCCTCGATACGGGGACATGGGAAGAAGCGGGGATACATTGTGAAGGTACACATGAAAATGGTCCGATAAACATGACGTCATAATTCGATAATTGGATTAATTTTTGTTTAAATGTGTCATCATCTTAAGAAACAAAAACACGTCTTTGCATTATGGGTATGAAAAAGGAAATGTAAGATGTTATAGATGACAATGTAATTAGGGCTCCAAGCCGAAAGGCTGTAGAGCCCTATTGTAATCGTTCGATTTATTATTATTATTATTATTATTATTATTATTTATTATTATTATTTATTATTCCGCCGATTTTTGTACCTGCCCTAGCAAAATAACCACTACCTCGATTTTGTTCAAATTTTGTGTGTGTTTGTAGACCGTTGGGTACTAGTGCCCGCCAGAAAGCCAAGGCCGTAGGCCCAAAGGCCAAGGGCAGATAACTGAAAAACAAGTATTTTTTGACGATATATTTTGCCCTGTTGCTCTACAACCGTTTGCCCGTTTACTTTCAAACCTTGCATGTATCTACTGCTTCAGGTGCTTGATAATTTTTGTTCTTTGACTTTGGTCATTGGTCACGTGGTTTGGCAGCCATATTGAATTCAAGGTTTTGACAGGGTTTTTTGGGCACTTGTCTTCAAATACTATCTTCTCTGAATCCCCTGCATGAAATGATTTCAAACTTTCTGAGAATTGTCTCCATATAGAACACAACAAATTAGCATAGCCGTTTTTTTATATCTTTTGTAGTTGCGGTCATATTGGATTTTGATTTTGATAAATTTTTTTCACCCAAGTACAAATACTGATGGAAGCGCCTCATAAATCTACTATAAACCCCCATTCACTGGCTTTGCAGATACCCTAGCGTTCTCCACAGCCTTGTTCAATATTATGTGTACTACCCTTGACGACCAGAGTTAGAATTGGCCTTTTTCAAACGATGCTTGTCTCAAGAGGCAACTATGCTTGTCACAGGAGGCGACTGATCGGATTGGGTGATCAGACTCGCTGACTTGATTCTTCATTTCTCAATTGCCAATTGCTACGGTACCTTATTTTTGACAGCGTTGTTAAAAGCAAACCATTTGCAAACCATTTGCGGATTAGAATATTGAGGTCGGCATTTAGTCCACTCTGGGAAACTGTGGCACACGCCAATTTGGTAGCGGCAATGTCCTGCAAACGTGGACTATCTTTTGATGGAGTTGGTACAAGCAAACCATGTGCGGATTCGAACATGGTCGAAGTCAAACATTGGTTAAGAATCCACTGGGACACATGTCATTATGTCTCACAAGCGGTTTATTACATTTAACGGCGTTGGTACAAGCAAACCATTTCGGGATTCGAACATGGTCGAAGTCAAACATGGGTTAAGAATACACTGGGACACATGTCATGATGTCTCACAAGCGGTTTATTACATTTAACGGCGTTGGTACAACCAAACCATTTCGGGATTCGAACATGGTCGAAGTCAAACGTGGGTTAAGAACACACTGGGACACGTGTGGTGATGTCTCACCAGCGGTTCATTACATTTGATTGCGTTGGTACAAGCAAACCATATGCGGATTCGAACATGGTCGAAGTCAAACATGGGTTAAGAACACACTAGGACACGTGTGGTGATGTCTCGCAAGCGGTTCCTTACATATGATGGCGTTGGTACAAGCAAACTATTTGAGGATTCGAACATGGTCGAAGTTGGAAATTGGTTAAAACATCCTGGGACACCCAGGCACATGTCAATTTAGTAGTGGTGATGTCTCACAAGAGGTTCCTTACATTTGACAGCGTTGGTACAGGTAAACCCTTTGAGGATTCGAATATGAACGAGGTCGGAAACAAGTTTAGCATTTTATCTCAGCAATGCGACAGGAACCTTGGGCCCGAACGAACGCAGAACGCTAATCCGTTTGACTGGAGCCCAACTGACAAAGAAGTTACAGCCTGTTAAAGAGTCCCCAAGCCGAAAGGCTGAAGAGTCCCAGTGTTATCGTTTGATTTAATATTATTATTATTCCGCTGATTTTTGTACCAGAGCTAGAAAAATAACCACTGGCTCGATTTTGTTCACATTTTGTGTGTGTATGTGGACTGTCGGGTACTAGTGCCCGCCAAAAACCCAAGGCCGTAGACCTAAAAGCCAAGGGCAGATAACTAAAAATGAAGACGTTTTTAAAGATGTATTTCGCCCTATTGCTCCGCAACCGCTTATCCGATTACTTTGAAAACTTGCATGTATCTGCTGCTTGAGCTGCTTGACATATTTTGTTCTTTGACTTTGGTCATTGGTCACATGGTTTGGCAGCCATATTGGATTCAAGGTTTTCACAGTGTCTTTTGGGTACCTGTCTTCAAACGCAAACAACTCTGAGTCCACTGCATGAAATGCTTCCAAATTTTCTGAGAATTGTCTCCACACACAACACAGCAGACTCTCATAGCTGTTTTGGGATATCTGTTTTAGTTGCGGTTGTATTGGATTTTGATTTTGATAAAAAAAATTACCGAAATTTTACTTTAACGATCATATCTTGTTAGCGTGTTGACAGAAACTATTGCAAGTTTACATGAATTAGTGTATCATATGCATCTTATTTTCTGTTCTTGGGTGCATGGAAAAAGTAACAACACTTGGTGGTAAAATTTGATTAGAATTTGGGACACCCCTGGAACATGCCAATGTCCTGCAAACGGTGACTATCTTTTGACAGAGTTGGTACAAACAAACCCTTTGAGGATTTGAACATGTTTGATGTCGGAAATGGGTTTAAAACAGACTTAGCACACGCCAATTTCGTAGCGGCAATACCCTGCAAGTTGTGCCTACTTGTGACGGATTTGGTACAAGGAAACCCTTTAAGGATTCAAACATGGACGTTTGTGCACAGTGTAACTTGGAGCCCGCCATTGCTGCTTGCAGCTTTAATTTAAGTTATAATTATATTATCTGGATTTTGGAACCATTTGCTCTACTTGTAATGGGACATTGACAAAATGATGTTCTACATCCACTGACTGAAACATGGGCAGGACTATTTGGATAGTTTTATGAAGACGACACACAAGGGTGGCCTTCTTGACTTATGCGCTGGTATAAATGAAAGACTGTTCAAACCGGCGTTAAGTAAACTCACTTACTCGTGTGGAATAGCAAGAATATAGAGACATTGTATCACATTGTAAATGACATCGGTACGCATCTACTATTTCATGGCCCATTGGGCATAGACATTTGTTTTCCTTATGTTTGAGTTTAGAAAAGGTATGAACGGATTATCATTAAGACCATCATGTGCCTGCGTTGCTTGTAGTCGACTGTAGCAGTCCACCAGTTGTTGCCAACGCTGTTGCCATCACTGACAATACAACACTGAACAGCACCGCGGTGTACAGGTGTAGCCCTGGCTTTACACGTGTCAGTGGATCTACCAACATCACATGTCTGGCTACAGGTGTCTGGGAGACTCCCTTCACAGAGTGTGTAGGTGAGTACCATGTATATGGAGGGTGTTGAGAACCAATGAGCGTGTAGGTGAGTGTCGTCATACGTGTTGGTGAGCGTCAAAGAGCACGTAGGTAAGCGTCATAGAGAGCGCAGATGAGTGTCATGGAGTGTGTAGGTCAATGTCATGGAGCGTGTATTGTGAGTGCAATGGACAGTGTAGGTGGGCATCATAGAGATTGTAGGACAGCGAATGTAGGCGACTGTAAATGCATACTACTGCATATGAATGAATGAATATCATATCTGAATGTAAACTTTATATTATTCTCACAGTTGACTGTGGACTCCCTCCGCAAGTAACCAACACAAATAGGACTTACACCAGCACGCTGATCAATAGCACCACGGAGTACACATGCGTTGACGGCACTGCGCATGCCTCAGGCTCAACACAGGTCATGTGTCAGTCAGACGGAAGTTGGACAACGCCAGATATTTCGTGTCTTGGTGAGACGAACCAAAGCTTCACATTTTGAAACTGATGTAAATTAAACATTTCCAATTACATTATACTCATTAGAGGATCTTGTAAATAATGATCGTTAAACTAACAAACTTGTATATAACCCCTGTTCCGTGGACATCTCCCGACAGCTATGTACGCCATACTAACCAATCCAAATGAGCATTATACATGAAACTAAACATAAATCTACATTTTCCAAAATTATGTTCATAATGAATATAAAATTGAAGGGCCATTATAATATATCTGATGGTATTTAACACAACCAAATATGTTTATTAACTGATTCACTCGGGCTATGTACATATTGCATGAAAAATGAGATTGGATTTTAGACAGATAGACTGAAATGAATCAGACTCCGTAATTCATGGAGTTAAATTAAGGTAAATAATCGGGATCTAGAATTGTTTCTCCACTTGTTTTGGCACATTGATGTTCTACAAGCACTGGCTGTGTAGGACTATTTGGAAATTGGCTTAAGTAATATGAAGAGAGGACACGTCCGGTTTAGTCGTCTTTGGCGGAGTAATTCGCATTTAGAGTTTCCTCCCTTACATATTGCATGAAAAATGAGATTGGATTTTAGACAGATAGACTAAAAGAATCAGACTCCTTAATGTAGGGAAACATTTTTAATTACTTGCAGTTACTTTGATCTTCGTAAGATCAAAGAAGACCCAAATTAAAGTGAGGAGATTAAATTATGGAGTCCAACTCGCTTCAGTGAATCTGACTTAAATCCAGTCTCATTTTTCAGGCAATATATATATTGACTGAAAATGTCAGTCACTATGGACATCGCCTGTGTGAATCAGTCAATATACATTTTGTCTGATTGGAGACATTGACTGTGACATATGATCCTCATCCTTGTGTGTACGCATGTGTACATGGAATTGTAATGTATTTATGTCAAATCAATTATTTTTCACCATTTTTCTTTCTATAATGATCAACTAAATTCTCATGCACTGTGTTTCAGCACCTATTGTTTCAGTTATTAATTTGTTAATTTCATAAGCAATGGAGTTTCAAATCTTGGTTATACATTGTGCACCATGCCATCGTGTTGCCACTAAATGATAATTTTTGCAATCTGAGTGAGTGAGAGAGTTACAATTTAACGTTGCATCGGCACTTTTTTTAGCCATATAGCGACGAGAGCAAGTTTATTCATGAATACAAAGTTATATTTAATTACAAATGTATCAAACATATTTTTTCACAACAATATTATTTATACAGTTTAAAACACGGGCTTATAGGCCACAAGTAGCTAGGCTAAATCGCTGGTGATCATGGGGACTTACGGTTCCTAAGCTTCCTGCATGATACCCCAGCAGGATTTATGTCACTTTAGCTACTGGTGCTTGTGCACAACACTAGCCAATTTGAAAAACATATCTCAGCAATGACTTGGTTTAAAACACTGGTTAATGATATTACATTGATTTATGACAGGAATTACATGTCACACAGGGGGGCAATCGTTTTGTGGCATTTTATCCTCCTGGACAGAGCATTTGATACCAAATATAACGAAAAACAAACATATAATAAGTTATTTACATACAATTTCTTTCAATCTGAACAGGGGCGATCGGGTAGCCTTGTGGTTAAAGCGTTCGCTCTTCACGCCGAAGACCTGGGTTCGATTCCCGACATGGGTACAATGTGTGAAGTCCATTTCTGGTGTCCCCTGCCGTTATATTGCTGGAATATTGCTAAAAGCGGCGTAAAACCATACTCACTCACTCACTCACTCAATCTGAACAGGATCAACACGTTTTCGTGTTTGTCATGTCCATGCCATCGAAACGGAAATACATAGAAGTTGAACGCAACTGTTTCAACAATAATGAAATGAATAATGAATAATTATCAGATCACATGAATGCATATGTCAGTTCTGGAAAGAATGAACGCTTCTCAGTGTCTGTTAACAATGAAACCATCGATCAAATGAAGCGTCTATAAAATCCTTCTTTTTTCAAATCGGGCTGCATTTATTTCCTACTCCTCACGGCACCACAGACATATTGGTAATTTTACGACCAAGATATATTTGTCTCGTTCCCGGTAAATAGCTCAAACGACTATTTAATTTGAATGGACAGTGTAGGTGGGCATCGTAGAGATTGTAGGACAGCGAAGGTAGGCGACTGTAAATGCATACTCATGCATATGAATGAAATACCATATCATATCTGAATGTAAACTTTATATTATTCTCACAGTTGACTGTGGACTCCCTCCGCAAGTAACCAACACAAATAGGACTTACACCAGCACGCTGATCAATAGCACCACGGAGTACACATGCGTTGACGGCACTGCGCACCATTCAGGCTCAACACAGGTCACGTGTCAGTCAGACGGAAGTTGGACAACGCCAGATATTTCGTGTCTTGGTAAGACTAACCAAAGCTTCACATTTTGAAACTGATGTAAATTAAACATTTCCAATTATATCATACTCATAAGAGGAACTTGTAAACAATGATCGTTAAACTAACAAACTTGTATATAATCCCTGTTCCGTAGACATCTCCCGACAGCTAGGTACGCAATACTAACCAATCCAAATGAGCATTATACATGAAACTAAACATAAATCTACATTTTCCAAAATTATGTTCATAATGAATAATAAATTGAAGGGCCATTATATATATATATATATATATCAGATATATATATCTGATGGTATATAACACTAACCAAATATGTTTATTAACTGATTCACTCAGGCTATGTACATATTGCATGAAAAATGAGATTGGATTTTAGACAGATAGACTGAAATGAATCAGACTCCGTAATTCATGGAGTTAAATTAAGGTAAATAATCGGGATCTAGAATTGTTTCTCCACTTGTTTTGGCACATTGATGTTCTACAAGCACTGGCTGTGTAGGATTATTTGGAAATTGGCTTAAGTAATATGAAGAGAGGACACGTCCGGTTTAGTCGTCGTTGGCGGAGTAATTCGCATTTAGAGTTTCCTCCCTTGGACGTGTCGAATCCTTTTGACTTTGGGTCTAACCTAGATTCGCCCTGATTATGTTTCTAGATTTGTCAGCACCACACCCCAGTTCGTGTGTTCCAAAGCCGAGCAGCCTACCCGTCATATAAGTTCAAACTGTTTAAAGTGGCGTTAAGAATATTGAGAAGGTGTAGGTAAAATGGGGTTTAATTATAACGTCGTGTTCAAGATTATTGCATTTATATACCGACGTGCATGCATGCGTCTGTGTATGTGTGGCTGCTTGTACTATACCAGAGTAATGCCGATTTTATAGCGCTAGCCAACAGAGATACCATACCGCAGGTTAACACGAATACCCCACTCAGACACAGCATAATGACTCCGAGCCGACCAGTCCTTGTTTTAGCCCCCTGATGCCGAGCGCCAGGCAGATTGCGATCTTTTAACGCCTTTTGGTATTACAAGGCCGGGGATCGAACCCCTAATCTTCCATTCTCAGGGCAGACGCTCAATCCACTAGACCACGTAGGCGGGACAAAATATTGAAAAAATGCATCACATTTTAAGTGACATTGATAGATGTACAGCTGTTATCACATGATCCATTCGAGTGATTTCAGGCTGATATATTTGTTTTATTTTCTTATTCAATATATTTTAGTTTATTGTAGGCATACATTTTGTATGCTTTGTCAGTAAAACCATGTATCTGTGTTGCTTGCAGTCGACTGCAGCAGTCCACCGGTTGTTGCCAACACTGTTGCCATCACTGACAATACAACATTGAATAGCACCGCGGTCTACATTTGCACTCCTGGCTTTACACATGTCAATGGATCATCCAACATCACATGTCTGAAAACAGGTGTCTGGGGGACTCCCTGGATAGAATGTGTAGGTAAGTACCATGCATATGGAGGGTGTAGGTGAGTGCCATAGATAATTGGGTGAGTGCCATAGATAGTTAGGTGAGTGTCATAATGCTTGTAGTAAGTGTCAGAGAGCGTGTAACTAAGTGTCGTTGACTGTGTGGGTGAGCGTCAAAGTGCGCGTAGGTGAGCGTCAAAGAGTGTTTAAGGTGAGCGTCAAAGAGTGTTTAAGGTGAGCGTCAAAGAGTGTTTAAGGTGAGCGTCAAAGAGTGTGTAGATGAGAATAATAAAGCATGTAGGTGAGTGCCATGGAGCCAGTAGATGAGCATACACTGAAACAACACTGTACGATAAGTCAGGAAAGTGTCGATATTATATACAGAATATAAATATCAAATGTAATTCCACCTGTGGCCTTACAAAGAAAATACTATGACCTTCAGAGAAACACTTAGAGAAGTGGCTTTGAATGCTATATACTGACGGGAAAAAGTAACTGTGTAATATTTAAAGTGGTGTAAATGTTATGTTATTGAACATTCGTCTGATCAATGTTTTATCAATGTTATGTCATAACAAATTCATTAACAAAACCCACACCTGTAGCAGGAGACAGAGCGACACGCCCTGAAAGAAGGGTGGTGTAATAATTTACTTAATGTCAATATCGGGTGTCTACACCATTTGCATGGATGCAGCCGTGGCAACGGCGGCGCATCGAGGACACCAGATGATTGAAAACAGCATGGGGGATGTTGTTCCAAATGTCAACCGATGATTGGTCCAACTGTGCTGGCTTTACCGACTGGTTCTGGTCCTGTGGTCGGCGTCGTAGCTGAACAATCACTGTGTGCTGTTCACGTTAATAAAACACGTGTACGAGAACCATGAACCCAACAAACACACAAACATCCAAATTGTGCGCCGTTCATAAACATTCACGTGCAAATGGAGAATCACGACCTCAATGTCGAGGTGATATTTTCATGAATATGTATTGAAAGATGCATTATTTAGTTTCAAAATATGTATATTAATTTTTATTTAACGTTATATGAGGTGAGGTAAAATGGGGTTTAACGTCGCGTCCCAGATTATACAACTTATATAGCGACGTGCATGCACGTACATGTATGCGTGTGCCTGTTTTGACTAATGCTGATTTTATAGTGAAAGCCCATTGAGATACCATGTCGCAGTTTAACGTGTATGCAACCTCAGACAGAATATACGGCGTCTAAGACGACCAGTCCTTGTTTTACGCCCTTAATGCCGAGCGCCAGACAGGGTAACAAGAAGTACCATGTATATACTCAATATGCCCTTTATTTACAGTTGATTGTGGTGTCCCGTCTCACGTAAGCTCCACAAATATGACTTACAACAGCACGCTGATCAATAGCACCACGGAGTACACATGCGTTGACGGCACTGCGCATGCCTCAGGGTCAACAGAGATCACGTGTCAGTCAGACGGAAGTTGGACAACGCCAGATATTTCGTGTCTTGGTGAGAATATTCACACTATACAAGTATAGTTTAGTTTCACACAATACAACTAATAAAAGAAACTATTTCAAGGCATTTTATACTTAGAAAATGCCGTGAAGTTTTCCCGGAAAACCACCGTTGACCAGTCCTAACACTATGTTGATGTTGTGTAGACAATTCAACGAACACATGGTTTAGACGTGAACAAAAATGAGAATGCAGTGGTATACATGTATGGTAGGTACAGAATTCAAAAGACAACAACCAACCTCTTTCCCACTTCATTTGGTCTCATATGATCTCAACTGATCATTGTAAGCCATTAGCGACTTTGCGTTGGTTTTGCATGGCAAATCTAGAATCGTAAGGATATTTATTATCACTCGTCTTAGAATCTAGAAAGTCCACTGGTTAGGCTGTATGGATACCATGACGTCATAATGCTTGACGTGACGTCATATGTCTTCACGTGCCAATTGACCATGTTTCCACTTCCGACTTACAATACTGAGCATATAATTCCGGGCACAATACGAATACAGAAACATGTTCATGGAAATAGGTCTTTTTAGCTTTGGCCTCGTGGTGTACAGGATCATTCTGCTCAACATACTGACATATGTGAGGTGAGGTGAAATGGGGTTTAACGTCGCGTCCAAAATTATTGCACTTATATATACACTGTATGTGTGTGTGGCTGCTTAAACTAGTCCGGACTGATGCCGATTTATAGTGCTAGCACACTGAGATACCATGCCGCAGTTTAACATGAATACCCAACTCAGACACAGTATACTGACTCCGAGCCGACCAGTCCTTGTTTTAGCCCCTTAATGCCGAGCGTCAGACAGGGTAACAACAAGTACCATCTTTTAATGTCTTTTAGTATGACGTGGCTGGGGATCGAACCCCGGACCTTCCGCTCTCCGGGTGGACACTCTACCAATAGACCACGGAGGCGGTTACTGACATATGTAACTCATAGTGTCATAAAGTGTTCTATCTAAATTCGCCTTGTGACAGATGCACTATAATACTAGTATGATATGACTGCAAACGCTGATCATCAATTGGTCATCCAAAATGTGAATATCAAGGTAGTGTCAAATTTAGTTGATTTCTTTTATTTAAGTCGATTGCGGCAGTCCCCCGTCCGTACTTAACGCCAGTGTAACCATATCCGGCACCTGGGTGAACAGTTCAGCAATGTATGCTTGTCAAGATGGATTTAAATCATCAGGTTCTGCCTCAGTTACCTGCGAAAAGAACGGTTCTTGGGAAATCCCTTCTTTTACGTGTGAAGGTAAGAATTATAGATTCATGCTTAGATGTAGTCAGAATCGTACAGTGGGGGAGGATTTCAGTAGATATTTCTTATAATTATGGAAAGGGTTTTGTCATTTGTACTGTGGTGAGAGTTAACAATACACTGCCTTCTCACGACACTTACCTAAGAGTTTTTTACGATCAAAGTAACTACGTTACATCATGGCGTGTCATCTTGACGTGGGAGGAAAGTCCGAAGTAATGCAGGTCTCAGACGTTTACCGCTTTCGTGACACACAAAAGCACGGAAATTGTGCTGAAAAACCTAGAATCGGTTTCGTAAGAAAGCTGAAATACTGTCTAAAACAACAAATATTCTATCTCACGCAGTAGTTTATTAGACAGTGTAAATGTTCTCACGCCAAACTAAATGATGAATAGGGTTTCTGACATCCAGTTTCACAAACACACGTTAACAATGTCAAGGATACAAAGTCGCGATCAATGGATCCACCCAATACAATGGTTGTTTCCATTAAGAATTGATTACTTTTATTAAAGATACAAACCAAGAATCGGAATTGATTCATACACTTTATGTTTTTGTGGCCTGATTAATATTACATGGAAATTTCGTCGCGGCGTGAGTACTTGTTCACAATTGCCAGACCAAGATTATTGACGTAATGCGAAAACAAGTAGTTGACATATTTTTTAATAACGACATTAGGTATCGATCGTTATGTTGACCCTGATAAACTCGAGGCAATTTTCAGTAACAAAAATATACCACCCTACAGCTTATTTTACAATGTGGTCAACAAATTAGCTACATGTGTGAAGGTAGCAAACATGCATGATGTACTAGTATTTCCCCTCGCTCGGCAACCAAACCAAATTCATTTCGTAAACCCTGTGTACTACACACACAATACCTTATTTACTTCTCATATATTCATAGCCGGATTCCGGATTCCGGATTTCGAAAAACCGAGAGGTTGGGGGTTGCGGATGCATGTAATAGCCAAGTCACGGAGTGGAATCATTCGTCACCAACTCGTTTTATTCCGGGACAAGCCGAATAGCGACTCGTGCCCCTATCATGGCCCATGGCCATTTTTGCGACCGGGTTCCGTCTTTGCGCAAACGGGCGTACCTAAAACAATTGTCAACTCGTTGCGTAATGGTTCACGTTTATTTCCCCATATATTATAGATATTTCAGATGCAATTTAAAGCACATCGGGATATGCGGAATTATATGATTGAACACATTTAACTGTGTCTTGGGTATATTTTTAGATGCAAGACATATGTAAAATCAAAAATTATTTCAGGAATTCTTGGACGAAGAACTTGAAATCATACGCGCATTCTGATTGGTTTGTCGTATTTTCGCACATAACATTCATCGATAGGGGTACGAATCTTCTTGCAGTTTACGAAAAGGGGCGAGTGGTGACGAATGGATGTGGAATGCGCAGTTAACATGTAAGGTGTCTGAGAAAGGCGTGCGCATTCCCCGCCCCACCCAACCCACCCCTCCCACACACTGGATCCGCCAGTGATGTCATATATCCTTCTTACAGATGACGCGGTTCAAATGTTCTTGTAAAATGTAATTTGTTCCTTTACAAACTCATGTATTTATATGTCCTGTTTATATGTCAATTGCTCTTGTTGCAGAGGCTCCGTTACCCTTGACGACGTCATCATCTACACCAACAGAATTACCAGTTGATGAATACGGAAGAACGCGAACTGAAAAATGTATCTGTCGTTGCATCAACAAAGTGCCAAGAAAACAAGAAGACATTTTGGGAGAAATATCCAAAAACCTAACTTTAGACACGAAAACTCTGACATCCTTTATAATGTCAAAGGAAAGCCTTCCTGACGAGAGAAAATCATCTCATGGTATGGCTTATGTTGCGATATCAGTGATTGGAGTCCTATTCGGAGTGGTATTTGTATCGGATATATACTATTTAATACACGGAATAACACGACATTTCAGTGCACGGAGATGAAAGTCAAACTATGTCGTGGTGTAATAATAAGAAGCCCAGTAATGTGAGGCCTACACTGTATTTTGAAATGGGCGAACTGTGTCACGAACAGATGTGCGATTATAAACACGAATAACAATATTTACCTGCGTCGTGCATCTTGTTAATGAATATAAGGGGGTACGAGTGGCACAGTCGTCTAAGGCACCGCTATTCGCTGTGCAGAGTTGCGTTCCTTGGACACGCCAGAAACCTATGATTGTGGGTTCGAATCCCGGTTCACCTCGATTATGTTTCTAGGTTTGTCAGCTCCATACCTGTGCTTGTGGGTTTCACCGAAGTGGTAAACGTCTTAGACCTGCATCACTTCGGGCTTTCCTCCCACATTAAGCTGACACGCCGTGATATAACTGGAATACTGTTAAAAGCGGCGTTAAATCAATCACTCACTCACTGTTGATGACTATAAACCATTTTTATTTTGCTCTTATAACAAACATTTTGACAAGTACTGGAGGCCTATTCTGCAATGGAAATCCACAGGTGTGGCATTTCGGCCTTCAAGGTGCTCACCGCCCCAAGTGTGCAGTACACGCATCTATGTACTCACAAGTAACTATGCATTGGAAACAATGGCGGGGTTGCAGGTATTGCAACTCTGAATCGACGTAGGTTTTGCTTCGCGACAACTGAAAACGCTAATGAGTAGGTCGCACAAGATCTGCTTACTGGCACTGGAACCAGTGCATTTTAGAAAATGCATTGATATGATATTTGCGCTGAATATGTGTCCTTTTTTATAACACATTTGCTTCATTTACCAATGGCGCATCTATTCATTGAGAAATGCCAAATAACTGAGATGGATTTCGTTTTCTTGTAATTATTTATGCTCTAAACATACTTTCACATCTTCATTACATGGTTTATGAAAACAAGAGGGCATTGACTGATCACTGTTTCAAACGGTCAAAATCCCCTTTGTTGAATAATGGCTGACATGAGCTGACACTATGTAATCTTTCTGATCATAGTTGGTGATGAGCACAAATTTTCATCGCTTGATAGTTGAGATACCCCAACTGTACGGACATAAATCTTGTTGATTATCTAAATCTTCCTTCTTTGAGCTTCGTTGAACGTACTTGTAAGAGGTGACATGATATGTGGATTTCTGCGGTTTTCGCACGAACAGTTTGAAGAAATATTTCCAATTGTCCAGCAGAGGGGAATCATTTTAGTAATAAATACGGAGTATTCAGCTCTGATAACAACGCTGTACCTAACAGGTTGACTGCAAAATCAGATCAGTCATGGTCCTCGTAAAAGATTTTGTGTTTAGATATTTATCTGTTAACCAGTCAGCATTCAACGACACCTCAGTCTCTGTGGGATCACTCGAAAAAACTGAAGTCATCTGGACATGGATCATTCCAACATTATGATGCTGAACTATGGAAGCAACTGCCGCTCGAACTAAAGTCAGCACCCTCACTAACATCATTTAAGACTGGACTTAAGACAAATTTGTTCACAAAAGTTCTCTTCTTCCACATACTGTAAACTTAATTACCGTCAACAATTCCACCTTCTGTGGGCATTATAGAATTGTATATAGCAACTTTCCTCATGTTGTTGTTTTTATTGTTTAACGCCGCACTCAGCAATATTCCAGCTATTTGGGATGCAAGCGTGGTCCGCATATTTGCCATGTTTTTCCTTAATTTTGTCAATCAATTTTGTCAAAAGGGACAGAAAATTCAATGGTATAAATGATTTCATGGGATTTATAAAAAAGGACAAGGTCAGGTTTGTTGGCTTGGATCGGTCTGAGGCTGAATTCGGGCCTATTTCAAAGATTTTTGTATTTATCATGTTCATTGATGTCCTTTATGTTCAGGGTCGTACTTGGTATGGACCTCTTGTGTCAAAACCCCAATGGGGACCTGGAATAGAATGTATCGTCAGCACCCCATTGCTGGTCGTAAGAGGCGACCGAATTGGGCAATCCGTCCGTCGTGGGTTGCGCCCCTGTGTCGGCAGAGGACGGGAGTCTGTCGGTTGAGGGCACTGGTTCCAGAAATAGCGTTCCTTTGCCCAAAACACCGCTTTGATCCTTACTTCGCCGAGACGGGTGGTAGGATGGACTCGGTCCTATCAATCGGCTGGTCATGCCAAGCCCTGTGCATCAATATTGTAAATATAATAAAGTTTGTTTAACTATGGAAATGTTGTAATGATTTGTTATTGAAGTGGCCAATGTTGGTTGGTTGGTTGGTTTGTTGTTTTACGCCGCACTCAGCAATATTCCAGCTATATGACGGCGGTCTGTAAATAATCGAGTCTGGACCAGACAATCCAGTGATTAATATCATGAGCATCGATCCACGCAACTGGGATCGATGACACGCATCAACCAAGTCAGCGAGCCTGACCACCCGATTCCGTTAGTCGCCTCATACGACAAGCATAGTCACCTTTTACGGCAAGCATGGGTTGGCCAATGTTATATTAGATGAATTTGGAATGTATACTTTCAAGTATGTAATTTGCCTTGAGTCCTATGCCCAGAAAGCATTGGCTCTTGGGCCAGTGTGGTGGAAAAGTTGATCTTTATTTTTTTCTGTTTGACTATATCATCCGGGTATCCTTGGTGCTGCAAGTTGGAGATCCACATGCTATAAGCATTGTCTTTATGACACCCCATGGTGGGTGGGGAGCTCGGATGATGACACAATATGAACTAAACATGGATTACGAAACCCCCTTTCGTTCGGGTGCACTGTTAATTGAGTGTAGTAAAAGGCAGCAAGCAAAAAACCTCATGTCAACTGAAAGTTTGATCCCGGTTTCGGTCTCTGCACAACGAACACTTCACACCAGTTAAGGAATTGTGAGAGACCGAGATTGATTGTTTGCTGACATGGCTGAAACTGATATCGTCTCAGAAATGAAAGACCAATGTATTATTTATGTCAAACGCTTCACAGCCCGTAAAGACAATGCAGCCTCGCAAACGAATACGTACCTGTTTTCATTTTAATCTCCTACTGCTCCAAAATCAATAAAGCAGCAGGATATTACTACATCAATGTTGACGTCTACATTCCCAATCCTTTAAGATGCTTCAAATGCCAAAAGTATGTCCATGGTGTCAATGCTTGCACATTGTCTGTTACATGTGCTCACTGTGGTGAGAAGACACATGTAACGGAAGATTGTGACAGTAACTACAAAAAGTGCACCAACCTTCAGGAAGCCACTCTTCTTTCTCGAAGGATTGTCGCGTTTGGAAACACCAGATGGAACTATACAAAAATAAATTCACCAGAAACATGTCCAAACTCCTGAACTAAACGAAACATATGCATTCGTCACCAGAACACCATCTGAAACCACCACAGAACTCCCCACTTCGCCAGTTACCAACGCACTCAATAAACTGCCAAACAGATCTGACATGGGTGAAAACCGGTACTCCTCAGTTGTTTTCCCCTGAATGATCAACTTCCCAACACGTCTCAAATCTTGTGATCAGTTCTCATCTGTAACACAGGTACAATCAGCATCTCAGTGGGTTCCACAACATCACTCAGAGACAAAAGTCAAGCAACCGCAAACCAAGGTCAGAATCTCCCAAAACAATCAAAGTGGCAGAGCCTCAAAGGGGTCCGAAAATGAAATATAACTATTTAATAAATTTGGATAACTTGAGCACATGGATGTGTCCGAACACATCCATTACAAGGCACATAGCTTGTCGCCCTAAAAAACGTGCGGGGTAGATACCAAATCAATCACTGGAAAAGATGTATTTCAGTAATATTTTACAGTGGAATTGTAGCGGACTGAGGACTAATTTTAATGAATTTATTAGCAGCTGTTTGTCCAGGATTTGAAACCATCAACATTCTGTCTGCAGGAAACTTATCTGAAACAGACAGAGGATTGTAACTACGTCAGTTCAATGCATATCATTATTCTTCTCCTGCGGGTGATAGGGGTACTGGAGGTTCTTCAATCATTGTGAGGCATACTATTATCCATAGCCCTGCTGCACTTCCAACTCACACACAAGCCCGTGTTTATACAAGGATACAAACTAGGGTGCCAATATAAACGATTTTAGGTTTATACTTATACTTATGGGGAATAAGACTTTGCACCAGATATATTCTGTACCATGTTCATTATTCAGCCTTGCTTGGCAACAGTATGAGGATCTATACCGAAACCGCGCCATTACAGTAAAATAAAGAAGTTGTTATCCATACATTTTCGTGTTTGTAGTTGTAAAGTTATGACTGTTATCTGTCTGTACCATCAACGTACTGCCCACAGTCCCCAGCAGCTCTCCAACCATCCGTGCCAAGTCTGACCCTGTAATAATGGTTATTGTTAACTGATGAACGAAGGGAAGGTCCCTTCTGTCGGGCTATTTGTGCCAAGCACAATATTGTGCCTTGTATTTTGAGAATGAGTAGACTTGCTATGTTGCTAAACATTTTTAACAATGTAACTTTGATATGTAAACAGCAAATATAATTCACTTTTATGTCATCTTAACTTATCAGTTAAAATCTACTTATTTAGGGGATACTATACAAATAAATAAATAAAAGTTTCTTTTGAGCTAGCATGAATACATAAATACTTAGTAAATCTATGCTTATATTCCCTCTACTCCCTCTGAAGGCTCTGATTTTGGCTGGGTACAATTCTGTAAATTGAAATGTATTACAGATCTACTCCCCCATGCGGTTGATCCTACATTAAATATTCTTCACAAATACTGGGGGCGGTCGGGTAGCCTAGTGGTTAAAGCGTTCGATCCCGGACATGGGTACAATGTGTAAAGCCCATTTTTGGCGGCGTAAAACCATACTCACTCACTCACAAATACTGTACATCCTGAAATTTGTCACCAAATAATTGCGAGTGTAGACCGGTGGCCTAAAATATGTCGAGAAATTATTGCGATTAGCCGTTCCTTTGAACCGTAAACGTAAGCGAAAACACCAAGCCTGTAGACTAAGCATGCCATGATGTATAGTCTGGAAGTTAATTTAAGGTACCGACGTTTACTACAATATCTGACAAAACTGTTGGACCTACTCCAGTCAAAGTTGGTATGAGATTATTAAACAGTCATACATAACTGGATATTACATTTAAAGACAATTGGTGCATGAATAAAAAATCTGTCTATAAGGCTATCACTATATTTCATCAACAACCAGACCTATTCGTCACGGCCGGAACGAGCATTCATTGTAACAGCCATATGACACAGTTGAACCGATCAACTCAACTCGAAAGGTTGCACGGGAATCACGCACGCACGAATACGGTGTTAACATTAGATTTCATGATCATGATGTCTCAGCGCAAGCATCTTTCCGCTGAAGTGAAAGGTTTCGTTGTTAAAATATTTGAATACTTTAAGGCTGAAAGTGAAAGACGTTCGCCCTTCTTTGACATTTCAAAGTACATGAAAAGAACAATTCATGCGTTACAGCTTCCCAAATATACCGTAGTTAAGATTTTGAACTCTCATAAAAACACATGCTTCCCTACGGTTACATCCCATTAGTGAGACATCCCATTAGTAAGACATCCCATTTATAAGACATCCCATTAGTGAGACACCCATTGTAAGACAGTGGAGTAGGTTGGATTCTAGGTGGTACTTTCTCCGCCTGCCAAGATCTTTGGAATCAGCTTTACATACTGCATGCACGGAAAGGAAGCATTACCTATCCCCTAGTCTACGCATTGATGCCTGATCGTCGGACTACAACTTACCAACGCCTCTTTGCTCAGTTGAAGGTCCACATCCAACAGCTACTGAACCAACTATTCAACCCAGAGACATTCCAGGTGGACTTTGAAGTTGCTGCCATTAGAGCCCTCCGGACAGAGTTTCAAGGTTCAGACATCAAGGGGTGTTTCTTCCATTTCTTGTGTCTATAATAAGACAAGTCCATTTTCATGATAGGGGTTAATTACCTGATTAACATGTGCAACCAGGTATGGCATTGGTGTTTTAAGGTGTCTCACAACTGGGCTGTCTTACTAATGAAAGGAGACCTTCCCTACACATCCCTTAGGGGGCATCTCAAAACAGGATAGGAAATTAAAGTTAGATTCCTTTGATAAGAAAGTTGTCAGGGACGTGATTCGGCGGTTAACATGAGAAAATGAATTTATTTCAACACGAAAACTAAAACAAATTCTCCTTACAGAGCATGATTTAGATTATTCCAAATGGACCTTTCCAAATTTGGATATCAGTACAAAAAGACAAAAGGTTCGAAACTAGCAATGTGTGAACGACCAGATATCATTCGTTTGCGTATCAATTATTTGCGCACTATTAAAAAGAAACGAGAAGAAGGCTATGAGCCTGTCTATTTGGACGAAACCTGGGTTAACGCCTGCCACACAGCGGCTTACCAATGGTCTCACCCAGATACCATAGAGCCACAGCGCAAGATCCCCCCTGGTAAAGGGGAGCGCCCGATTGTGCTCCATTCAGGCTCCCACAGAGGTTTCCTCCCTGGGTGTGATCTAGTGTTCAGATCCGGATCTACAGATGGCAGAGACTACCAAACCAGTTTTCACTGCGTATGTTTCGGAGCAACTCCTCTTAGCACTGCCTGATAAATCCTTGGTGGTTGTGGACAATGCTCCCTATCACAGTTGTCGAGTTCCTATTAACCGTTGTCCAACCTCAAATTCCACCAAAGGTGAGATATATCAGTGGTTGGACAACAACCGCATTGCTCGGCCCACGAAAGCCAAAAAAACTGACTACTACCAACTGGTTCTTCAGAACAAACCCGCGCCCTCTTATTTGATTGACAACATGATGAGAGAACACGGTCACAAATTGCTTAGACTTCCTCCTTACCATTGTGACTTGAATCCTATCGAACTAATCTGGGGTGATTTGAAAAATATGGTCGCACGGCAAAATAAGACCTTCAAGCTTGCCGACGTCAAGCAGATTGTCTTGAAAGGGATGGGAGAAATTACATATGTACGTTGGGCAAACTGTGTCCAACATGTTATCAAAGTTGAGGAAGAGTATTGGAAACAAGACTGTATTCGACCAGATACTGTCCAGCCTGTTGTTGTTCATTTAGGTGACAGCACAGACTCCGAATCTGACGACGAGGGCATTTCGTGGGACCAAGAATAGTGCAATACATATAGCCCTGTTTCACTACGACATGTAATAGCCCGAATTACCACGGATATGAATTCTTACATATTCGTACATATTCTTAATCATTTCTTATGAATCTTGAATACATCTTATTTGAATGCCAAACATTCTTGTAGTTCGTGATAAAAGGAATCGTCTACGAATTTGTAGTACATGTCGTAATCGGATCTTGTCCACTTTGTGCAATTCCTTGCTCAGAATTTGATTCTCTTTCACCCGAAACAGCCCCGAAAGTCTCGAATCATCTACGAAAATATTAAAATATTTTCATCGAAACCATAAAGCAATGAATAATTACGTTTGATATATTACAATTAATAACATGATGCATGAAATATAATAATGTGGCAAGGAATGATACATTCAAGTCAATAACACTGACCTGAAAAATAATGCAAAAATAATTGGATAAATATTATTAAATAACTGCTTGAGACGTCCAACGCTAACACCGTATTCGTGCGTGCGTGCGTGATTCCCGTGCAACCTTTCGAGTTGAGTTGATTGGTTCAACTGTGTCATATGGCCCTGTGACGCAGGGGTAGCATTATGCAGATGGCTGTTACAATGAATGCTCGTTCCATCCGTGACGAACAGGTCTGGTTGTTGATGAAATATAGTGATAGCCTTATAGACAGATTTTTTATTCATGCACCTATTGTCTTTAAATGTAATATCCAGTTATGTATGACTGTTTAATTATCTTATATCAACTTTGACTGGAGTAGGTCCAATTGTTTTTTCAGATATGTAGTAAACGTCGGTACCTTAATTTAACTTCCAGACTATAATATTAGCTGATGGAAATTCGATTGAAAACTATCAATGTTATCTTCAAAAACATAACTCCAACTGTTGATCTAACTTCTATGAAATCAAAAGCGGGAAAGTTTCTCCTCACCTTTCAGGAAATAAAACTTGAAAGAGCAACGTGTACATGCACTGAATGGAAATGTGCTTGCCTTTGTGAAATTTTACTTGTCTTTGATGAATTGTCTCTCAACTGGAAGAAGTGACAAGTGTTCTTTTCTGCTTTTGTATACTGTCCCAAGAACATATTTTGATGTACTTGATGTACCTGACTATTTCCTGGATTGGTTGCACAATATTAATAAGATGTCAGTATGTTAAATAGTTAAATGTGTTCATAGGTATCTTCTTTGAATGCATAGTGTAGAGAACTACTTCAGGACAGGGTAAGCAGTATATCTTTGATTATGATATTACTGTCATCATTATTCCTTCCGCTTATTATAAATAAAAGTTTGATAATTATTTCCGATTAAACGTAGGGAGAGGTATGGAATTTATGGAGATTATTTCTAACGTTGGTGTTGTTCATACAATTCTTAATTCTGTAGGATATTACAACATGCACAAATTTGAATTTAGTTTGAATTATTGAAATGTATTATTTTGAAATGGTTACAGATATTTGATAAAGTTATTATATAATGTATAGTCCCTACAAGATTTCAATGCTTTTTTTCAATGCTTCTTATAATTGTGTGTTAACTAGTGAAGATCCGGGGCAGAATAGGACTTCAGCAACCCATGCTCGTCATAAAAGGCGACTCTGCTTGTCGTAAGAGGCGACTAACGGGATCGGGTGATCAGGCTCGCTGACTTGGTCATGGTATCCCAATTGCGTGGATCGATGCTCATGATGTCAATCACTGGATTGTCTGGTCCTAGATTTAGAAAGGGGTCCCAAACTGATTGGTTTGCTTCGTATAATAATATACTCGCTTTCGGTGATGGCGGTGTTGATTCTGAGTTCATTAAGGATCCAACTACGGCGGCAAGACTAGACGCCATCTTCAATCATCTTTGTTTCTAAACAGGATCACGAGTCTGACTGTAATATTTCTTTTTGCATTTCAAATCAAAACATTGTTTGGTAGTACAAATATGAAATTTATTCATGAGGAATTGAGGGATTTTGTTATGTATAAATAACAATGGTGTAGACTTGAGTGGTGGTTTATTTTCTTCCAATATGTTTGTTTCAATGTGTCCGCTGCAGTAAACCCTTCATTAGATGCATCGCGGCATACGTTGAGGTTTCACGGTTTCAGCTTTTTCTCAAATGTTGTTATCTCTGGTTTTACGTGTCCATCTTAAGCTACTTTCTGACCCTTTTCATACTTACATGTATATAGATACTTTACGATAATTGACATGAAGCTATTTGCGTAGCGTGTAAATCTCTGTTGGTGCTTTTAATGGTGTTGGTGAAGTTTTATGTTTGGCCTGCTAATAAAATCCCGTGTACAGTTCAGCATATGTATGTTCGTTGGCAGAGTGAAAGTTAATAGATGGGTACATCAAAGATTTCTTTTAAAGACTCTTTTTTCTCTTTCTCGTTATTCTCAGTGCAGTGTGTATCGCACATCAGGTCCAGTTGTATTTTGGTTTTATGTTGTTGATTAATGGGACGATTTGGGTGACGTTGAATCTGTGAAGTAATGTGGGCGTTCATATCAAGTTAATTATGTAAAGCGAACTGATAAGACAATTGATCAATACAGAATGAAAAAATGAGTACTGTAAATGACAAGCAATATACACAGTGTACCCATCTGAAGAATCGAACCTTGGTCTTTGGTGTGAAGAGAAAATGCTTTAACCACAAGGCTACACCATCGCCACTGATCAATGAAGAAAGCACGCGGGATACAGATGCAGTCACATAAGCAGCGAGATATATTGACTGGTATTGATCGCTCTTTCCATAATCAGTAATCCTCACGTCACAATGCATTAAAAGACAACAGTATTTCTATCTAGTCAATTCAGTACATACATATTGCCACAGAAGACAGCGAGCAGCAGAATGGAGAGGAGGGGAGTATTACATTTGCTTATGCTGTTGGTATATCATGTAGCAGCTGGTAAGTATAATTAGATCAGTGACATTAGTTAGAGATTATAAAACAATGCTTGATTAACTTGGTATTGCCCATTCCGCCTGAAGAGCTATCCAATGCAGGGCCACATTGGCGGCTGCTTGGTCTCTGGCGTATCGAACACTCTCCGACCCAGAACATATATACCACATACGCTCTATCGGCGACATGTCAGAGGGCTTAGCGGGCCACTCCAATGTCCGTATGAATTCTCGTCGGAGATAATCGGTGATGACCTGGGTACGATGTGTTCTGGCATTGTCATCTTGCAGTTCACAATATCTACCGATAGATCCAGCGGATGGAAGAACGACAGGCTGAATTCGTGTGTTGACATATTGCTGGCCAGTCAGATGTCCATTCACAATGTCCATATCGGTTCGTCTGTCACGTGTGATACCACCCCACAACATGACACTACCGCCCCCATACAGATCCTGGTAAACTGTCCTGGTATACCGATCGTTGCTACGTCGTCAAAAACGTTTTGTGCCATCTGTGAATCGGAGGCTAAACCTTGATTCGTTTGTAAACATAGTGTAACGCCATTAGCGTACAACCCGTCCATGGTATTGCCTAGCCCGCCCCATTCTTTGCAGCTGTTCGGGTCACACCCTTCACAGGACACCTTGCTTTCAGACGGGCTGCACAGAGTCAGATGTTGAATTACGCCTTCCTGTCAGCGTCTCTATTGATAACAGGGGCACGGGTGGCCAAGTCGTCTGAGGCGCCGCGATTTGCTGTGCACAGTTGCGTCCCTTTGGCACGCCAGAAACCTATGATTGTGGATTCGATTCCCGGTTCGCCCCGATTATGTTTCTAGGTTTGTAAGCACCATACCCGTGCTCGTGGGTTCACCGAAGTGGTAAACGTCTAAGACCTGCATCACTTCGGACTTTTCTCCCACATTAAGCTGACACGCCGCTATATAACTGGAATACTGTTAAAAGCGGCGTTAACCAAACTCACTCACTTAACTTGTTTTTGCTTACATAAAGCCTTAATGCTTTAGCTTGGTTTATTGTAGCCGCGTGTTTCTGTTTGGGCACTGTGAGCAGATGTTGGCATACTGAGCTCAGGCTTCTCAATAGCGTATTGTCACTGATAGGCTCAGTCGGACAGTTTGGAGCTGCTCACTCACTCACTCACTCACTCTATTGATAACAGGTGCAAATTACAGTCTATTGCGTAGTGCAATTAATGTAATAAGACGATCTGGTATAGATGTCGCTTTTAGGCCTGCCACGCCAAGGTCTCACTGCAACCCGTACTGGAACGTCCCTGTAAGATAAAGGGTTAACTGTGACGTCATACACATGTACGTAAGTGGTGACGTAACACGCATGTACCAAACCGGATGACGTAGTAAACTATTCTAGGAACCCGTCATGCTCGTTGTTCAATATATTACATGGTGATACATATTGCTTGTTGTTCAATATCTAACAGTCCCACAGTCAAGAAGTCACACTTTTTGATTGGCCAAACATTTGGTCAACTGGTTTCAGTGTGGACGTCACGTGCTCTTCATGCATGATGTGAAATTTCATTGTGATTAGATGTTGTGTTCAGATGTAACGATAGCAATATTCAAAACATTAGTTCCCAAATTTTTTGTCGGTATACATACAGATAATAATGTCTCGTTCGTTGGGGTATCCTAGTGGGTAAAGCGTTCGCTCGTCACGTCGAAGACACGGTTGCGATTCTTCACATGGGTGCACTGTGTGGAGCCCCATGTCTTGTGTTATATTGCTAAGAGCGGCACAAGACCATAATCACTAATTCTTCATTTAAATTTAGTAATTGGGTTGTTAGGATGGGATATTACTGACCCTTACATACAGCCTAATCTTTCTTCACGGACTCACAGTTTTGGTGCAAGAAAGCCACAGTCATGTATTCTAGTGTCACAAACCATGGTGGGCGTATTTGAATAGTTGTCCAATTTCGATGACCAATTCATTATTTGTAATAAATGTACATGTTAATATTTGCGTAATAATTTGAAAGTTGTAATTCAGTGTGTACGTGTATGCGTCATATTCTATCGACATGGTAATGATTTACATAAAATTGTCAATAAAATAAAGTCAATAATCAATGTTGTTGCAATCTTCATTTATTAAAATAATGATCCTTCGTACTTAAATTCAGTTCTCGCCCTATGTAAACGTTGCCTTTTTTTCCTACTATTGAACCAGATCCTGTCTTGAAGGAGATGGTAATACTTGGCGGTCTGAAGTTCAGTAATCGTTTCAACATAATGTGTGTTCTTGTCCTGTTGCTCCGAAGAAAAGTGTTGTATATTAAAGTCAATAATATTTTGTTGTTGTTCAAACAAGCAGTCAGTATTATTCGAGATATATCACGTCCCCCTGTATATAATCGAATCTTTGCCAGAAACAAAACGGTTTATGATACTATGAGCAACGACCCATAGATCAATATTCGAATACATGCAATCAATCATGCCTCGGAGACTGACCACCGGACCGTTTAGTCGCCTCTTTGGGCAAACAGTCTTTTCCTTTGACATATTCTAACCCGGATAATTGGAAATACATGGTCAATAGTAAGAATTCTGTTTGTCATGTATTACCATTTGAACTAGACAAAATTAGTACAAAGAATTCATAAAACAACAGAAAGTTGGATAAAAATATCCGGACTGTTCTGTTAAGAAAACAATCTCATAAAACTCGTTTTTCCAATACGTTTATTGAATCCATACAATGTGTATGCTATTGATGATATGTGAGGGTACACACTGTTTATATCAGCTTTGTGCACGCTTTTATTAGAGATGAGTTAAATATTTGAGAACATTTGTCTTCATTAATGATACTGAATGCTATGTGTGTTCACAGCAAAAGCACTCTCAAGACAAAGTAGGGGAAATTCGAAAACAGATATGTACAGAAATACAAAGAGGGGTGATTACGAATGGATAAGGAAAGGGAAGGTATTTGTTTAACGGGGCAATCAACAGAACCTGTTAATGATGTATTGTAAGGGTGCAAACAACCAAGAAAGACGGGTGAGTGGGGAAAAAATAACGTTTGAGATGAAATGATCAATAATGGTTCACGTACCCACGATTAGTACAACATTCCTTTATACATCGTGGCATGGTTCGAATCATCTCTCATAGACAATTTCAGGGAGTTTTGTCCACTCCTCCGCTAACGTAGCGGTTGGCCTTTGACGTCGGTTTTTACTTTTCCCGATCATAATAATAATAATAATAATAATAATAATAATAATAATAATAATAATAATTGATTTGTAAAGCGCCTAATATCCATCGACAGTTGCTCACTGGCGCTGTGACAAGGTTAAAAAGTAATATCTATGTACATATGCCAACAATCAGGAGATCTATTGAAAAGCTGAGGTGAAGAAGTGGGTTTTGAGGAGAGACTTAAATGTTTCCTTAGAAGCAGAGTTTCTCAGATTCAAAGGCAAAGCGTTCCATAACTGTGGACTGCAAAAGGAGAAGGCACGGTCAGACATAGCAGAAGTAGACAGAGGCTGATACAGTAGAGTTCGACCAGAGGATCGGAGAGCACGCTCTGGAGTGTACAGAGATATAAGATCTTTGAGATAGTCTGGATAGTCGCTATTGTTGAGGCAGTCGTGAGTGATGATACATATCTTATAGTGTATACGAAAGGAGACTGGAAGCCAGTGTAGTGCTTTGAGGACAGGACTGATGTGATTGGATCTTGGAACTTTAGAGATGCATCTAGCCGCAGAGTTCTGAATGCGTTGTAGCTTTGATATGGCTTTCATGGGAAGATTAGCATACAATGCATTGCAGTAATCCAGTTTGGAGGTCACAAGACACTGCATCAACAATTTAACTGTTGGAGTATCAAGTAGGTGGCGGACTTTACTGATGTTATAGATGCTATGGTAGCATGCTCTGCTGGTTAGTGAAATATGAGTGTCCATGGCCATTGTTGAATCAAAGGTGATTCCCAGATTACGGGCACTGGCAGTTGGGTACACAGTGGTATCACCAATATGAAGGTATACAGAGTCAGGGTGAAGCTTTCTGACTTGCTGTCGTGAACCAAGGATTAAAAACTCAGTCTTCTCTTCATTGAGTTTGAGATAATTGAAGTTCATCCAGGATCGTATGTCATCAATACAGCGCTTAAGGGCGGCGAGGTTCAGAGACAGTTCGGAAGTTTTAAAGGAAATGTAGATCTGGTTATTGTCCGCATAGAGGTGGAAGTTAAGAGCATGTTTCTGGATGATATCTCCAATTGGCAGGATGTAAATTGTGAATAGCAGAGGTCCAAGGACTGAACCCTGTGGTACACCATAGTGACTTTTGCATGTTGTAGAATGACAATCATGGATCTTAACAGACATGGTCCGGTCAGACAGGTAGGACTGGATCCACTGGAGAGCTGTTCCCCGAATGCCAAGTCGTGTGTTGAGTCTGTGTAATAAGATTGCATGATCAATAGTATCAAAAGCAGATGAGAGGTCAAGGAGAACAAGAAGAGTGATTTTCCGCTGCCCAAAAGATGTCAGGATGTCGTTGTGGACCCGGACGAGTGCTGTCTCAGTACTGTGACTTGACTTGTATGCAGACTGGAATTTTTCACCGAGATTGTTTTGTTTCATATGATGTTGTAGCTGCACAGCGACAATCTTTTCCAGGCATTTAGACACGAACCAGAGATTGGACACAGGTCTAAAGTTTTTTAAATTGTCGGGATCAAAACCAGTTTTTTTTCATGATGGGAGTGACATGAGCATGTTTCAGTTCACTTGGGAACTTGCCCTGAGACAGAGATGTGTTGATAATGTCCCACATAAAAGGTGTCACGTGATCCATTATGGTCTTGAATAGCAAAGAAGGAACTGGGTCAAGTGAAGACGTCTTGGATGGAGCATGCTTGATAGTGTCCGATACGACTATCAAAGAAACGTGACTGAAGGAGGTTATTTCATTTCCAGAAAAAGAG